GCAGCTGAGTCCCATCACCTCCTGCCTGAGTCCACGGTGGCACACACAACAGTGCACACTCACAGGTGCACACCCTTGCACTTGGTGGCACTCTGTCTTGAATATGCGCCAGGCATCCTCTGGTTTGTTAGTCACATCTTCCACCCATCTGTCCTGTTGCACTCACTCCAAATCAGCTGAGGAGCTTGGTGAGCTGGTGAGTGTTGGGCTATGGGGAGGTGCTCTGAAGGTGGCAGCACAGCAGGATTCTGGAAAGAACCTTCGCAACCTGGCGTGCACTCTTAGCTCCGGGCAAACTGAACTGCTTGCCTCCCTTGCAGCACCGCCATCGCCAAGCTTTTGCTCCTGCTGTTCTTTAGCCTCTTGTACAGTTCCACTGCCATCCTCCTGCTTTCTCCTTTCCTGTTCATCTCCAATAAGTGTTTTTAGCCTCTTTGCATTTTCAGTGCATTTTACATATATAAGTTCTTTGGCTTTCTATATGTCTAATCATTTCTCTTTTTTTTTTAAGATATATTTATTTATTTGAAAGGCAGAGTTAGAGAGAGAGAGAGATCTTCCATCTACTGGTTCACTCCTCAAATGGCGACAATAGCTGTTGACAGGCCAGGATGAAGCCAGGAGCTTGGACTTGAACCAGAACTCTTATGAGATGCTGGAATTGCAGGCAGCAGCTTAACCTGCTGCACCACAATGCCGCCCTCTTTTCTACAGTGAAAAATTCTCAGAGAGAGACCAGCATTGTGGTATAGTGGGTTAGGCTACTACCTGCAATGTCGGCCTCCCAATGTCGGCCAGATTGAGTCCCTGCTGTTCCACTTCCAATCCAGCTCCCTGCTAATGCACCTGAGAAAGCAACAAAAGAAGGCCAAAGTCCTTGAGCCCCTGCCACCCACATGGGAGGTCCAGATGAAACTCCTGGGTCCTGGCTTTGGCCTGGCCCAGCCCTGGTAGTTGTAGCCATTTGGGGAGTGAGCCAGCAGATGGAACATCTCTCTCTCTCTCTCCCTCTCTCTCTGGAACTCTGCCTTTCGTTTTTTGTTGTTGTTGTTGTTGTTGACAGGCAGAGTGGACAGTGAGAGAGAGAGACAGAGAGAAAGGTCTTCCTTTTGTACTGCGGCTGGCGCGCCGCACTGGTCTGAAGCCAGGAGCCAGGCACTCCTTCTGGTCTCCCATGGGGTGCAGGGCCCAAGCACTTGGGCCATCCTCCACTGCACTCCCGGGCCACAGCAGAGAGCTGGCCTGGAAGAGGAACAACCAGGGCAGAATCTGGTGCCCCGACTGGGACTAGAACCTAGGGTGCTGGCACCGCAGGTAGAGGATTAGCCTAGTGAGCCGTGGCACCGGCCTGGAACTCTGCCTTTCAATAAACAAATAAATAAATCTCAAAACAAACAAGTAAAAAACTAGAAACCTTCCAGAAAAAAGCATCCCTGCCTCAGTCATATTTGTTTTCTCCAAAAAGCTCCAAATAATACATTGCATGTAGGCAGAATGTGGGCTCAATAAATGTGCACATAAAGAAGGAATAAAAGTAAAAGCAGCTCTAATCCAGAAATCTGGAGTCCAGTGTGCGCCAAAATATGACCCTTTTTGAGTGCTCACAGGACACCTCAAGTAGAACATTCATTGCAGCACTAAAAATATTACCCTCGAGCTATGTGTGAGATGTATAGCAACGTAAATGAATTTCATGGTTAGACTTGAGTCCCATCCCTAAGATATCTCATTATGTGTATGCAAATATTCTAAAGTCCAAAAAACCTGAAATCTTAAACACTTCTGATTTCAAGCATTTTGGCTCAAGAATATTCAACTTGTATTTAACTCGTAGCTGTTATTAGTAGAGGTAATATTTTGGAGTGATATGAAGAAAGTCCATGACATTAATTTCAATTTCTGTTTGGAATTTGCAGTAAACTGCAAAATACAAATGAGGGGTTTTTTGTTGTTTTTTTATTTTTTAAAACTTTATTTAAGGTACACAAGTCTTATGTATTTCATATATACATATTTAGGAACATAGTGATACTTCCCCCCAACATCGTTTCAATTAATGCTGCAGCCCCTCCTACTCCCTCTCACATTCCCATTCTTTATTATTATTATTATTATTATTTTTGACAGGCAGAGTTAGACAGTGAGGGAGAGAGAGACAGAGAGAAAGGTCTTCCTTCCGTTGGTTCACCCCACAAATGGACGCTATGGCCAGCACTGCGCCAATCCAAAGCCAGGAGCCAGGTGCTTCCTCCTGGTCTCCCATGCAAGTGCAGGGCCCAAGCACTTGGGCCATCCTCCACTGCACTCCTGGCCACAGCAGAGAGCTGGACTGGAATAGGAACAACCAGGACAGAATCCGGCACCCCAACCAGGACTAGAACCCGGGGTGCCAGCGCCACACGTGGATGATTAGCCTAGTGAGCCGCGGCACCAGCCCCCACTCTTTATTTTTACAAAGATCTGTTTTCAGGTTACTTAATGATTGTATAGTTAAGCCTACACTAAATAAAAGAGTTCAACAAATAGTATGAAGAGAAAAAAAAATTTGTTCCTCAATGGAAGAGACAAAGGCAGTAAACAATCATCGAATCTCAAAATGTCCATTTCACTCTAATACATTACATTTTAGGTACTCTATTAATGAGTTTTTTAAACTACAAAATTATTTGACCTCTTAGTTTTTTAAAAAAGATTTATTTATCTACTTATTTATATTTATTTGAAAGAGCAACAGAGAGGAAGAAACAGAGATCTTCCATCCAGTGGTTCACTACCCAGATGGATGCAGTAGCCAGGGCTGGGCCAGGCCAAAGCCAGGAGCCAGGAACTCCATCTGGGTCTCCCACATGGATGGCAGGGCCCAAGTATCCAGGCCATCTTCTCTGCTTTCCTAGGTGCATTAGCAGGAAGACAAATTGGAAGTAGAGCAGCCAGAGCTCAAACCAGCACACCGATATGGGATGCCAGCATTGCAAGTGGCAGCTTAACCCACTGCACCACACCAGCCTCCTAGATTTTATGCAGAACTTGCATGAAGCAGAAAGCAGTAGGAGTTTGAATGAAAGACAACTGTACCTTGCCACTTTTGACTGACCTGAGAGTCCCAATTCACCGGACTCTAGGTTCCCTTTGCTATTCTCTCGTGGAGGAGAGGGCCTGATTTTAGACAGAGCTCTGAGTCATGGTCTATAAAATCTTGATCTAACATTCAGAGATCCCTGAACATAGGATTATAGATTTAAAAGACCAAAATCTATCTCAATTTTGGAACTAGGTCTTATAAATTTTTCACATGCTCTCTCTCTCTGAATTTGGAAGTAAAATAAACAGTAAAATCATACTTGTTCACGTCCAAAATGTTTCATCATAAGCTAATCAATCATCTTTATAAAACTAAATATCCTTAAGCAATTTTAATTGGGTTTACCTTGTAAACAACCTTCTTGTAGATTGTTAAATCTGATCTTGACTTAATTGCTCTTTAAAGTAAATATAAACAGAAAATCTGTTTCCTATTTGCAAGAGTCTGTGCACCATATTGGTTAAGAGAGAAGGCCCCTGGGGCTAGGGCTGCTGTGCAGCAGGTTAAACAAAAGACTGCAATGCCAACATCCTATACAGGTGCTGATGCTACTCCTCTTCTGGTCCAGATCCCTACTAATGCACCTGGTAAAGCCGAGGAAGATGGCCCACATGCTTGGACCCCTGCCATCCAAGTGGGAGACCCAGATGGAGTTCCAGGCTCCTGACTTCAGCCTGGCCCAACCATGGCCATTGCTGCCACTTGAGGAGTGAACCAGAGGATGGAAGATTTCTCTATTTCTCTTTCCTCTCCCTCTCTCTCTGTAACTCTGCCTTTCAAATAAGCTAATGATTTAAAGAGAGAGAGAGGGAAAGAGAGAGAGAGAATCTTCCAACCACTGATTCAGTCCCAAGATGGGTGACACTGCTGGGGCTGGGCCAGGCCAAAGCCAGGAGCCAGGAGCCAGGAACTTCTTCCAGGTCTCCCATGTGGGTGCAGGGACCCAAGCACTTGGGCCATCTTTTGCTGCTTTCCCAGGTGCATTAGCAGGGAGCTGGATTGGAAGTAGAGCAGCTGGATCTCGAACCGGCACCCATATGGATGTCAGCTTCACAGGTGGAGGCTTAATCCTCTATGCCACAATACTGGCCTCCAATAAATGAATCTTTAAAAAATAAAAATAAAAATAAAAAAAAGAGGGCCGTATAATTAGAAAAAATAAGTTATGGTGGTCTGTTGTACAGTAAAGTGATGACAGATAATGACAATGTTCTGTGTATTTCAAAAAAGCTAGAAGAAAGGATTTTAAGTGTTTGGACCACAAAGGAATGACAAATGTTTGCATGGATAGGCTTATCTTGAGTTGAGCATTGCACAAGGTATACAAGTATGGAAATATCACATGGAACTCCTTAAATGTGTATAATTATGTATCAATTAAAGATAAATAAATAAATAAAAGTAAATAAAAAGAAGGAAGAGTCTGGATTCAGACAGCCTGTGCCCAACTTCTAGCCTGTAACTGTGTACCTTGGGCCATGTATTCTAACTTCTTTGTACTTGCAATCTCTTGTCTACAAACTAGAAGCATTTTATATCTCCCTCAGGAGAGTGATACATTTAAGTGAGTGAACATATATCTGAAGCATGAGAACAAGTGCCTGACATAAACACTTAACAAATGTGATCTTTTTTGCTGTGATGGTTTTATGCTAAGCTCAAATACAAATGCACAATCATATAATTTTTTCTTGGCTACCTGACTAGCAAAAATCAAATATTGATTCAAAAAAATCATAGGAAAAGCTTTCTGAAATTTTTTTCAATGATGTACCAACCAAGAAATATCCTTCTACAGTAAATTAGGAACATATCTTAAGATATTAACATGTAATGGTAAATGTGCTGATCTTTCTCCTTGTAAAAAAAAAAAAACCAAGTTCTTCTTGAAATAAATTATTTGAAATTCTTTCCACAGGTGCGATGACTGTGTAGAACCTTCTGTCACTGTGAAGGGAACCACTTCGGTGAGTAGCCAGGGAGTTGCAGGCTATGCCAAGATACTCAGTTGATGAAACCCCAGGTTGGTGGCCACCAAAGAGTGCAGTTGTGAATGCACTTTAGAAGCTGAGCCTTCTCCTCCACAGTACAAAGTTTCCCAATCACGGTTGATTTCCAGTTGCTTTGTCACCACAATGCACAAACAGTAGGCTCTGTCAGGAAGGAGTAAGACCATGTCACTCCTGTGTAGCCCTAAAGGGTTGGACAAAGGAAGAGGCCAGAAGCAGCCACAACCACTTTGCAAGGCAGCGTGAGTCCAGACTGAGTGCTTTCTGAGTAGGATCATCATTTGTATTCAAAGGAACCATTGAGGGGAAAGATATATTTGACCAGAACATGTCAATGTAGAGGTTGACCCAGCATGGTATTCCAGTAAGGGCTTAAGTTTAAATTTACTAATGTGTTCACATACTTTTGAGATGGTGAAGCTGTGAGTTTTCCTTTCTGCTTTTCCAGTCTTCACTTTCAATCTAGACATGCCTCTGACTTTCTGAGTAACTCATGTGGTTTAGAGATGAAACGTAGAGTCTTGGAAGGAACCTAAGAGAGCAGGAGCAGGACAGAGGCATTTTCTTTTGCCTACAACCTTGGTTCTAGTCTCTCTGTCTCTGTCTCTGTCTCTGTCCCCCCGCCCCCCAAGAGCAGAGACTAGAATTCTGGCGAGGAGTGCATCTAAACAAGGTTCTTTATGTAAGAAACCAAAGTGAGCCTCCTTTCCCCCTCAGAGGAATGCTGCTTCTGTCTGGACAATGAAACTGACCTGTCTCTCCTGTCTGTGCCTCTGCCCAACCAGCATCCCCACTGTTCCTCTTAATAGCCAATAATGGATCATCAACCAGGCTCTTCATAATGACTGTCTCATTTAACCCCTAGAGAAAATCTGTGAGGTAGATACCCTTATTGTGCCTATTTTAAAGATGGAGAAACTGAGGTTTAGAGCATTTAAAGATCATGGACAAGTGAATACTAGTAAATGGTAGAGTCGTGATTAAAAACTGGGAACTCTATAATTCCACAGCCAAGAGTGAATAATGTGGGCAGCTCATCAGCCCCAGCCCTGTTGCGATGGCCCTCAATGACTTGCCACTTGCACAGGTTCTCCTTTAGCCAGTGAAGACTAAAGCAGCACAGCCTCCACAGGCAGCTTTGCCCAGAGGACAGAGCTTGCTGCCGGACACTTCTGTACTCCCAGGCTTCCTGGGAGAAGTGCTCAGATGACCCTCCTCTCCCACTGCAAAGCCATGGAACCAGAAATAGGTGAAGAATATAAAAAGCAATGCAAATGCCTAAAAATTATAAAATAGTGCTGTTTTGGCATTCTCTGGATCTGAAAATCCAGTCTATGGATTTCTCCGGATCTTTCTTTGACACTCTTGATTGTCACTCGCATTAACCATTTCACTGCCCAGAGCAAGACTATCTAAAATGGAATAACTTTAGGGAAAACAATTGAACCCAAACCCAGAGATTAGTATTCTCAGTTAATACCTACAAGGGTATTACAAGAAGTTCATAGAGAGGGGGAATTACGATATGTTTACTTTGGTGCAAAATTTTTTAAATCTATGTGTTGTCTTCTAATAAAACACATTTCATTTTCTATAATTGTTTTGAAGACTTCTCTTATAAAACATTTGGAGAGCCGGCGCCGCGGCTCAATAGGCTAATCCTCCACCTAGCGGTGCCAGCACACCGGGTTCTAGTCCCGGTCGGGGCGCCAGATTCTGTCCCGGTTGCCCCTCTTCCAGGCCAGCTCTCTGCTGTGGCCAGGGAGTGCAGTGGAGGATGGCCCAAGTCCTTGGGCCCTGCACCCGCATGGGAGACCAGGAGAAGCACCTGGCTCCTGGCTTCGGATCAGTGCGGTATGCCAGTGCGCCAGCCGCAGCGCGCCAGCCGTGGCGGCCATTGGAGGGTGAACCAATGGCAAAAGGAAAACCTTTCTCTCTGTCTCTCTGTCTCTCTCACTATCCACTCTGCCTGTTAAAAAAAAAAAAAATTGGAGAGAGGCAGGTATTCCAGCCCAGGGTGTTAAACTGCATCTCATCAAAGTCCTGGATTGAGTCCTGGTGCCTCCACTCCTCACCCAGCTTCCTGCTAATGCATCCCAGAAGGCAGCAGAGGATGGCTCAAGTGTTTGGGCTCCTGCCACCCACTTGGGAGACTCAGATGGAGTGCCTGGCTTCTGGCTCTGGCCTGGCCCAGCTCTGACTGTTGTGGACTTTGGAGCATAAACCAGCAGTTGGAGAACCTCTCTCTGTCTCTGTCTCTCCTTTTCAAGTAAAATGATTTTTTTTAAAAAAGATAAAATAATGAAAGTAGTATCTAAAATAAGCCCCAGGGACTCCTGCCAAGATGTGAAGCAGTGAGCTTCCCATTACTTAGTTGGCAGCCTGGTAGGAATGCTACAAGGGAGATCCAGGACTTTATGGAAGATTGTACTACATTATTAAATGACCTTCCATTCAGAAAAAAAAAAAAAGCTATTAATTAAACACTTGCATAAGCTGTAAAAAAAAAAACACAAAACACAAAGAGTTTCAGAAAACAAAATTTTTAAAAGTAGAAAGAACTTAAAGATAATGTAGACCATGGTTTCTCTCAACTTCAGCACTACTGACATTGTGGGCTAGATAATTCTCAGTTGGGAGGAGCTGCCCTGTATATTGGAGTGTAGGATGTTTGGTATCTCTATCTCGAGATATTGCCAAATAGTCCCTGGGGAACAAATGGCCTTCAGTTGAGAACTATCTCCTTTCAGATGCAGAATCCAAAGTCAAAGTCGTCACCATCTTTGAGAATAGGAGCAAAACTGATGACCTGGGCCACTTGATCACTCCTCATCTCTGAACAAATTCTGGTGGAGCCTACTATTTGGTGCTAATAGCACAGCCCTGTGGTCCTAGGAACTCCTCCAGGATGCACTTAGCATGCTGGGCCTGTGTGAGCTCTCTGAGTCAGTGTCACACTCACCTGTGCATCCCCACTGCCTGACCCAACCTGAATACCCCGTAACTGAAAGAAGAAATCAATCAGTGATTTCGAGCAACAAGTTACATTGGAGGATATGACCTGTGTCGGAAAACAGACACAGAACAAATTAAGGAACACCTTGAAAAATTAATGTGTTGACTTTACTAAGGCATTTGATAACATCAGTGAGCTTAGGTTTCAGCTCCCACAGCTGTTCTGCAGGTTTGGCTGCCTAGGTGCCTCTCAATTAAACTAAGGTTACTCTGTGACAGAAGGCATGTTTGTCTAGCCATGTCCTAATTGCAGACAGTATCAGTACAGTGTCACTAGAGTGAATTGGAGCTGTGTAAAATGCCTCATTTTGCTTAGCTTGTTGTTTTTTTTTTTTAAGCTTGTTTATGTATTTCTTTTCATCTACTTGAAAGGCAGCTAGAGAGACAGTGAGAGAGTGAGACTGTGACATCTTCCATCTGCTGGTTCACTCCCAAGTGCCTACAACAACCAGGGCTAGGACAGGCCAAAGCCAGGAGCCTGGAGCTCCATCCAGGTCTCTCCTATGGGTGTCAGGGGCCCACGCACTTGAGCCATCATCTGCTGCTTCCTAGGATGCGTTAGCAGAAAGCTGGATCAAAAGTGGAGGTACCAGGTCTGAAACCAGGCACTCTAATATGGAATGCATGTGACCCAAGTTGAGGCTTAATGCATTGTGCCTTGATGTTTGCCCCTGCTTGGTTTATTTTATGTACTATATTTGAGAATGCAACTGAGATCTTTAAAAAAAAATCTATTTATATTTGAAAGTCAGAGTTACACAGAGAGAGAAGGAGAGGCAGAGAGAGAGGGTCTTCCATCACTTGTTCACTCCCCAATTGGCTGCAATGCTTGGAGCTGTGCCAATCTGAAACCAGGAGCCAGGAGTTTCCTCTGGGTCTCCCACGTGAGTACAGGGATCCAAGGACTTGGGCCATCCTCTACTGCTTTCCCAGGCCATAGCAAAGAGCTGGATCGGAAGTGGAGCAGCTAGAACTCAAATCCATACCCATATGGGATGCCGGCACTGCAGGTGGCGGCTTTACCCACTACAGCACAGCGCCAGCCCCCACAAATCTGTTTTAAGGATCCAATGAGAGAAGATATAAAAAATAAAGTACTAAAACCTGAATAAATGTGTAATTTTGTTCAAATGTAAGGAGAGCAAATGAGTACACAAAAATGTTTTAGAGAAGTCCAGAAGAGAGAAATGTTATTGGGAGAATAGGATTGGATATTAGTCACCTCTTATATGCTAGACACCATACTAGGTGCCAGTGATAAAAAGGCAAATACTGTTTTTTCTTTGGCATTTTAGAGGTTGGCCCACTGCCAGGGCCTCAGTTCGTGTATCTTTGAACCCTTGGTTTCCTAGATCAGAGAGGAGACTGAACTTTGTGGTGGGAGGAAGGGAGAAGAGTACAGTAAAGTCTCAGTGGGAAGGCAGCACCGAGCCTGACATGGAAGGCGCTGTATCGGGGTGCCTAAAATACCGTGAGAGCAGCTCTGCTGGGGTTAGGCTCACAGAGATGGTGATATATAAACTGGACTTTCAAGGATGAGTTGCTGTTTTCCAAGAGAAGCAGCGGAGAAAAAGGATTTGGGGAAACTGAGCAGTGAGCTTGGAGTTCAGGACACTGGCAGGAAGACAGGAGGAAAGGCTTATATGGAAGTTGGAAAAGGATTTGACAAAATTTTGCTTGCAAAACACAGTTGATTGGGGCCAGTGCTGTGGCACAGCGGGTTACCGTCCTGGCCTGAAGCGCCAACATCTCATATGGGTGCCGGTTCTAGTCCAGGCTGCTCCTCTTCTGATCCAGCTCTCTGCTATGGCCTGGGATAGCAGTAGAAGATGGCCCAAGTCCTTGGGCCCCTGCACCCGTGTGGGAGACCCAGAGGAAGCTCCTGGCTCCTGGCTTCGGATCGGTGCATTCTGGCCAGAGCAGCCAAATGGCGAGTGAACCATCGGATGGAAAAAAAAAAAAAAAAGATTAAAAAAAAAGAAAGAAAGGTTAGATGATCTTGGGCATCGGAGAGGAGATGAAACCTGACAGTGAACACCAGAGAGAAAGGGGAAACTTGAGCAGAGGGATTTGAAGTCAGAGCCTGGGCAGCATCAGGAGCTGAAGCTAAAGAGACTAAAAGGGAGGTGGCCAGCCTTGTTCAAGGGCAAGTGCAGGGTGATTTAAGGTGGAGTCATGAGTGACTGAGCCAGTTTGACAGAGGAAATGCAAACAGAGTTTTGGCAAAAGAGAGTGAAAGTGTGGGAGTGGATAATTCCCCTGAGGTTATGAAGGCAAATTAAAGCTTGAAAGTAGGGCAATGACTGGATTTGAAGAAATCGGTAGACATTTGCTATTTAAGCAAGTAAATTAGTTCTGTATCATTTTCCTAAGCCTTTTAAAACTAGCGACGGCCTAGGAAGAAAAATACTTTCAGTCCATTTGTTTCAGAAGTATTCAATCAACTCCTTATGGTGGTGGTGATAGGGGAAATTGGCATTCTAAATGATCTCTGGATAGAAACACGGGGTATTCTAAGTCCATCAAGGTCATAAGCTTCAGCTAACAGAATCCTGATAGAATAAGCACAATGTTAGGATATCCAAAATCCTGGCCCATTGGGTCCTTATAGACAACACTGCCAACTCAACAGAGGTCAGTTTCCTGTCACTTAGAAGTCTTCCCTTAGCATGTCTTGTGTTGGGGCTGACGCTGTGGCATAGTGTGGGTGAGGCCATCATCTGCAGTGCCGGCATCCCTTATGGGCGCCGGCTGCTCCTCTTCCCATCCAGCTCTCTGCTGTGGCCAGGGAAAGCAGTAGAGGGTGGTTCAAGTCCTTGGGCCCCTGCACCCACATGGAAGACCCAGAGGAAACTCCTGGCTCCTGGCTTCAGATCAGTGCATTCTGGCCATTGCGGCCAATTGAGGAGTGAACCAGCAGATGGAAGACCTCTCTCTCTCTCTCTGTCTCTCCTTCTCTCTCTGTGTAACTCTGACTTTCAAATAAAGAAATAAATCTTTTTAAAAAGAAAAAAAAATAAAGCCTGTGCTGTGCAGTGTAAACTGGCAGGAAGCTTTGTCAGAGAGAGGCTCAGTATCTTGCCTGATGACAGATGATCAAAAAAATTAATGTAGGGCAAGGGCACAGAGAAGACCTCCATAAGTTGCAAATGGAAAAAATAAGGAAACTTTTTAAGTTGAGAAGTAAATAAATTATAGGTTAGGAAAACTGATTTGTAATCCTTAGACAAGAGCTTTTAAGCTTGAGACATTCTTGTGGGAACATGTGAATACTCTGGTTCAAGAATGTCTAGAAATAATCTCATGTCTTCTACTTTTAAATTAACAGGCAAAAATAGTCAATTCACCCCTGGAAAATCAACCTGTTGACCGTGCTTTTGTCCCCAACCCAGCAGTCATGAGAGAGGGCGGTGCCATTCCTCCTCCATGGGATATTTCAGTCCTGGAGAACGAGTTCTTCCAAGGTAAGTCTGTGCATTAAATCATTTTTGCAAATCCTGATACTAAAAGGAAGCAAATGATAATTACAGTTTGTATTAAACTGCTCAACAACATATCAAGCCCTATATTTTATTTTTGAAGTCCTCTTGTTTACCTTATCTGAAGAAGATGTTGATATATGCTATTAACACAATTAAAGAACTTTACAATTAAATATAATCAAAGCAAATAGTCTCAGATCCAGGACTGATATATGTATGGACGAGTAATAATGTTTAAAGTTTAACCTCAGGTAAAAAGAAAATGCATCTGTAGGAAATACATCTATAAAGTTTGCTGTTTATGTAGACTTTCATTGTTCCCAATTAGGACATAAATGCACTGTGATGAAATCTAATTGTTGTTAAACAATTAACCTTGTATAACAGATAACAATAAAAACTGAAACAGACTCCAAAAGTACCTCATGAACATGTACCTTATTTTTATATAATCAAAGTTCACTTTTATGTGGGTTGCTCTGCCTCAAAATAAACATGACCATTGGAAAAGTTCAGGCATCCACCAGCTTCACCTTAAGAAAGCGAAAGCCCCTTCCACCCTCGGTGAGGGTCAGGTAAGAGAGCCAGAGAGTCAGTTCAAAGTCAGGTCCCTGGAGCTTCCCTCAGCGAGATCCTTGAGATGGCTCCTGGCAGCCACCAGAAAGAAAACCTCTGTCCTGAAATGAAGGTTTTGCTTGTAGAGGAAAGCTACTATTTATGCGGTAGGGAAAAAAATAAATAAAAGACAGACTTGACCTCTCTGAAAATAAAGAAGAGAATCAGAACAGGAATTGGCTTGCTTTTGAGAGTAGTGAGTAAAAAAAGCATTATTGATTATGGATCCTAAGGGACTCTGAGTAATTAATTTTAAAATGTATTTATTTATTTATTTGAAAGGCAGAGTTACAAAGAAAGAGAGAGGAGAGAGAACAAGAGAGACAGATCTTCCACCCACTGATTCACTCCCCAAATGGCTGGGTCAGACCAAAGCCAGGAGCCAGGAACTCCCATGTGTATGCAGGGATCCAGTTACTTGGGCCATTTTCTTTCTTTTCTTTTTTTTTTAAGATTTATTTTATTTATTTGAAAGAAGAGTTACAGAGTGAGGTAGAGACAGAGAGAGAGAGAGGTCTTCCATCTGCTGGTTCACTCCCCAGATGGCCACAACAGCCGTAGCTGAGCTGATCTGAAGCCATGAGCCAGGAGCAGGGGCCCAAGCACTTGGGCCATCCCCCACTGCTATCCCAGGCCATAGCAGAGAGCTGGATCAGAAGAGGAGCAGCCAGGACCAGAACCAGCACCCACATGGAATGCCAGCGCTTCAGGCCAGGGCTTTAACTCACTGCACCACAGTTCCAGCCCCCAAACTTGGGCCATTTTCTACTTTCCTGGGCCATTAGCAAGGAGCTGGATCAGAAATGGAGACGCTGGGACTCAAAACCACTCCTATGGGATGCCAGTGTGGCAGGCGACAGCTTAACCCTTAATTTAATTTCACAGGGATGTTAAGAGTACTTATCTCTGGATAGATAGATTCCAGGTGATTCTACCTTTTTGGTATACTTTCCTGTATTTTCTCTTCTAACCATGTTTTGCTTTTGTAGTCAACCAAAAACTTTAAAGGAAAAAACATAAGTAGATTGAAAGGGAGACTAAAGAGCAAAGAGATTTTTTTTTTTAATTCACAGGCTTTTATTGGGGTTCCACTCCCGGGCGAGGTTCCCCGGTCCCAACAGAGCAACAGGGCGGGGGGGCAGGCAACAAAGAGATTTTGTTACAAATGTTTTAAAGAGAGATTTGCACTTACACAGGTTTTCTTTTTTCCTTTTTTAAGGATTTATTTATTTATTTGAAAGTCAGAGATATACATAGAGAGGGGGAGAGAGAGAGTTAGAGAATTAGAGAGAGAGAGAGAGAGATCTTCCATCCACTGGTTCAGTCCCCAGGTGGCTTCAATGTCTGGGGCTAGACCAGACCAAAGCCAGGAGCCAGGAACTTCTGTGCCCATCTGAGTGGAAGGGGCCCAACACTTGGGCTGCTTTTCTCTGGCCATTAGCTGGATCAGAAGTGGAGCAGCCAGAACTCAACTGGTGCCTATATGGGATGCTGGCGTCACAGGCTGCAGCTTAACCCACTGTGCCATGACACCGGCTCTGGTAGATTTTATTTTCTTTTTGCCCTGCCTTATACTTTGACATTGCTCTTTATTATTTTATGGTGGATATAGGGAATATATTTTTCAGAGACTAGATATAAATAAATTATTTTTCATTAAAACATCAGCAGAATGATTCCCTAAATAATTTCTTAGTTAGGATCCTTAGTGCTCAAGATTAGTTTTTTGTTGGCTATGAAAACTTAAAAGCACTAACTTAAAATTAAATAGAATAGGAAATCCAGAACAGATTTCAGAACTCCCTTAGCATGGGCAAGTGTTTGGCCCAGCAGTTAGGATGCCACTTGAGACTCACATATCCCACAGTGGAGTGACTGGTTCAAGTCCCAAGTCCTCTGCTTCCAATCCATGTTGCTGTTGATGCACATCTTGGGAAGTAGCAGATGATGGCTCAGGTACCTTGGTCCTTACTACCTACGTGGGAGACCCAGATTGAGTTCTAGGTTTGGCATAGGGCTGACCCAGCCCTGTCTGTTACAGGCATTTGGAAACTGAACTAGTAGATGGAAAATCTCTGTCTCTGTTTTTCTCTGCCTTTCAAATAAAACGAAAGTAAATTAAAAAAATTATTTTTTATTTTATTTTACTTTTTTATTTGACAGGTAGAGTTATAGACAATGAGAGAGAGAGACAGAGAGAAAGGTCTTCCCTCCATTGGTTCACTCCCCAAATGGCTGCAATGGCCGGTGCTGTGCGCTGATCCAAAGCCAGGAGCCAAGTGTCTCTTCCTGGTCTCCCATGCCGGTGCAGGGCCCCAAGCACTTGGGCCATCCTCCACTGCCCTCCAGGGCCACAGTAGAGAGCTGGACTGGAAGAGGAGCAACGGGGACTAGAACCTGGCACCCATATGGGATGCCGGCACCCCGCAGGCAGAGGATTAACCAAGTGAGCCATGGCGCTGGCCCCCAAAAAATTTTTAAGAAATATTTTGGCACCTGTTCTAGTGTAGTTGGTACACCATGAAAATATCTCACTCACATTCACCCAGCTACTGATCTGTCTCACTGTCCCTATCATTGTACAGTTAAGGTCAAAATTTTAATTATCCAGGAGAGTACACAGTTTTATGTAATTCAGGAAGATTTTATAACCAAAAACTTCTTCTGAAATTTAAATAACATTGTAACTCATTCCTCATCCAGATTTTATTTTTACTAGTAAACATTAATAAACACATAATCTATTTGTGTTTGTTATAATATGAATATGATGAAAAGTGTCTTATAAAGTAGGTCTTAGACAATCTAAAACTGTGAGAGATTATGATGCTATTCAAACTGTAACAGGTTTTTATTGAGGAAAGGTGCCAAATAAGGTTAAATAAAGACAACTCAGAGGAACCACAACCATGTCACTGAAGATATGTCATGACTTGTCTGAGATCATGGAGCCGTGGTCAGAGAGCCTGAGCCCTAGGTCTGAGCTTGGCTCCTACTGTAAAGAGGCCTCCAGGTCCTGACTTGGACACCAGCCTGTGACCTTTCTACTAGATAAAGTAATCTTTGCTTAACAACAGCAGCTTCACATCCTTATAACACTGAGCTCATCTTGCCACGAAATCATCCTTGTGGTTCATAAAGAGCAAAAAATGAAAATGGAGCTTTCCTATCCCAGAGACTGCATTACACACTGGTTGTGTGCATGGATTCAGGACATAGAGTTCCTGGGCTCCAGTCCCAATGCTATGTGACTTTGGCAACTTTAGCATCTGTTTCCTCATTATAAAATGAGAATATTAATATTACTAAACTTGAAATCCTATGTGAGATAGATCTATGCCTACCACAAGATAAAATGATATATTATAGGCTAATAGGTCTACCATTAGAACATCATTTAATAATATTATGTAGAACATTTAATTATGGCTATGATCCATCCATCTAAGTATATTTATAATTTAATTACTAAACTTTTGGTGATAATGCTATTCTCTCAGAAGTACAACTGAGATATCCTTTCTTATCTATAGACTCTCATTTCTATAACAATCCCAGATGGTGAAAATATTACAGCAACTTGCAGACATGAAAGAAACAGAAAGTTACAGTTAAATAATACCATGGTTATCTAATTATTCAATGGTGGAACCATTTCGGCAATATATATTATAAGTTGTTTTTATCACTTGTCCATATCTTACAAAATGCAATAAACTTTAAATGCACTAAAAGAAATTATGATTCAAATTCAGTTAGAAAAAATATATAACTTTACATGTGTGTCCTTAAAGCATTGTGGAAGGTTTACTTTGAAAAAGTATGATTTTAAAATATATGAAAAAGAAACTTCCATTACAAGTTTATAAAAGTCAAATTGTCTTAAAAACAAAATCAGAATTGGTGTCATCACATTTATGATCATATAAAAGTAAAATATGGTAAGTGATTATGTTTTCTTGAATAGGGCCGTCAATAATTCAAATTATTATTAAACTAAAATCACATGCCAAAAAATGATTCATATTCTCCTTTTAGTTTTAGATGACTTGGATAGCAAACTGGCTCAGGAACAATCTGCAAGCTCACTAAGTACCAGAATGCCCCTCAACTGTGGACCAAGAACACAATTCAACCATTTTTACTCCAGTGAGAACACACGTGGTAATATCTCAGGAAAGCACAAAAATCGCTATAATGAGACTTCCAATATGTCTATCTATGACATCCTAAGACCAGGAACTCCTAGGGAAGGTTTTAAAACATTTTCTCCTAGGACAAGAACAATTTATGATATGTACAGGACAAGGGAGCCCAGAGTCTTAAAAGAGGATTATGTGCAGAAGAATACTTTCGGTAGTACTTCCCTGTGTTTCGACAGCAGGCAACGATCAGCCTCACTAGCCACAAGGCATTTCACAGCAAGAAGCTTACATTCTCCAGCCACAACTGAGAAAAAAGGGGGGTTTCTACCACCATGCCCCCAGCAGAGCCCAAAGCGAACTCCTCTATCATCTATCATATGGAATAGATCAGATTCTTCCAGAGATGGGCAGAACCAAGGAGAGTTCCTGGGGACACCGTCACCAATGGAAATTGACCCTGCTGATGAGTATATATATCCCAGCTGTTTTCAGGAGAATAGAAGTTATGAACTATATCATTCACAGAATGTTTGCCAAAGTATTGGTTTTAATGCCCGTATGGATAATGCAATGAGTCCTGACACATTTGAGAACTCAGAGAATATGCCATTCTACCATGAAGACAGCCCATTTGCTAGGTCTTTCTTTAGCAATTCCTTTGGACAAAGAAGAGAACAGAGATTTGGACAAGGTCCTTTTTGGGACCAACAGGCAGAACATTCTTCATGGTCTGACTTTCATCAAAGCAGGAAACTATTCAGTTCATCTGACAGAGACTTTGAAATGATTTTCATGGAAGCAAATGCTGCATCAGCTGTTCACAGCCACAGTGCCCCTTCTCCACCCTGGGGATCACTTTCTCCCGGTTCTGGGACAAATGTCTCCAGAAGCCAAGAAGGACCCCATTCCTGGCAGTCTGATTTCCAAATGGCCTCACTGGAGAGCATGGAGATAACACAAGGTCATGGAAACCAGTCTACTACTCATTTTGGTGCACTAGATGTTTGCAGCAAGACTGACTCAAGCCATCACATCAAATCTGGTGGGTTAGACTATAAGCAGAATGTCAGCAAAGAACCTTACTCATTTGGAACTACTCAGATTCAAGCATCCCCCTTCAAAACTTTCTTCCCCCAGATTTCCGATGATAAAGGGAATTCTCAGAGTCCCTACTTTCAGAATCGCACAGTCACTGTGCAGAAGATGATTCCTGGTAAGCCTGTCTCTCTTCCAAAAAGAAGCCTTGTAGAAGTCAGTATAACCAATCATGATTCAGCTGATTCTCTGCTAGGAAGCCCGGCCAATGCTTTGGTGAATAATGAGAAAAACATGAATGACTCTGTTTCAGAAGATCAACAACTGAACAAGATGGACCAGACAAACATGATGGGTGAAGTATCCCAACCTGTTTCACAGACTGTGAGCTCTGACGCTTTACCTGAGTTTCTAAATCCTGTCTCCCGGGACTCCACCAAGAGTGACAGGTTTTATTTCAATGCACCTACCACAATAAGTTCAAAAAGGGTACCCAGAATCTTTTCCAAGAAAGATACCTCCAAAAATTATGTATCCAATACAGATAAAGCAAATGAACTTCATAAAGAGAAGAGTTGTACTAGGAACAGAAATCTTGGCTCAGCAACTTCCCCACCTTTCATCCGGGAGAGCAGAGTTCCACCATCTTTGCCTAACCCAAATCAAGTTAGTCATGAAGATATTTCAAACATTATTAAAAATAACCACTGGAGCTCTGGACCTATGGACAATCAAAACACACAGTCTCCAGTGGAGCCTGTTATCTTAGATACTGAGGGAGAACCACGTACTACCACTGATTCTACCGATGATAGCAGGTTGGCTGCTGAGCACAGTGTGTCCTGTGATTCTTTAGGTTTGGCAACAGGTACGTCACCAGATTCCTCCCCACCAAGTCATTCTTTCCCCGATGCTCTGCCGAGTACTTCTACTACAGTGTCCTGCAAGAGAAGTCCTTCAGACAGAGATCTGTCTCTGGGAGAAACCGAAGAAAAAGACAGTGCCAGCAAGAACCAAAATAATCAGCTTTCTGTAAGTTCCTCAGAAAACCAAAGACATAATGATGGTCATGGGCCTGTCCATGACGAAGTGGCTGATGCTGTCAAATACTCTCCTTTCAGGAATGGAAAGGGAAAAGGAAAAGTAAGACACCACATATCCTGTATTGAAAAGTTAAGCAAAGCAGAAAGTAGATCAGTACCCTCGAATGACAATGGTAGCTTCACTGAGAAGAAGCAAGGGAATTCCAGAGCTTCTGAGCTTGGCACAATTTATTGTACCTTGCCAAGAAAATCAGCCAGTACCCTAATAAATAGTAGGCAGTCGGAAAGTAAGATGCTGGCTACTTCAATTAGGAATGGACCCCTTCCATTTCAAGTCAGAAATAATGTGGCAGACCCAAAAGGGAAGCACACATTCAGCCCACTCAGTCCCAGGTCTCCTGAGTCAGGAGGTGAATGTGCCAAAGTGCTCTCTGACTCAGCCGCAGCAGCGCCTGGAGCCACGGAGAGGAAGACGAATATGAAAACCCTTCGATCTGCTTCCGTGAGGAAAGGGCCGCTTCCGTTCCTCATCAGGAGGGCTGTTTCCTGTCCCTCCGCAGAGCCATGCGCCTCACCTGGCAGAGGCGAAGGGAGAAAATCGCCCGTCTCAGACAGAAGTGCCCGTGCTGTAAGCCCAGGACCCTGGGGGAGAATCGTGAACCCTCTCGACAGAGGCTCATCCGCTCGAGATTCCTTCTTAACCCAAAGACACCCCGCAAAGGAATACGCGCACGGATGCGCAGACGCAGCTGACGGAATTCCCGCCTCCAGGACAAGTACATTTTCCCTTTCAAAGGAAGACCCTTTACCTTTCTGTTCGGATGTGTCAGGAAGTGAAGGTGGGAAAACGTTACATAGATTGAAAACTACTAGTATATTCTCTGTTTCTGGAGACGAAGATCATGTAAAGTGTCTCGAGGTGGTCTCGGTCTATTATACTCTACCAAGGAAACCCAGCAAAAAATTCTGTAACCTCCTTCAACAGTTCACACAAAATGCTGATTCGCTCATAGACTCACCTCAAGTGGGGACTGAAACATCTCCCAGTGCTTTAGAAAAAGACAAACTAGATTATTCTACACGAGAGCAGCCAGGAACACCTTCGGGTGAAGACCCAAACATGCCGGTCAGCTCTGCTCAGAACAGCCACTGCCTTCCTCATCCCACTGAAAATGTGTCTGTCTCACAATTACCAGATAGGAGGCCCGCAGAGCCTACCTTACAGGAAATGGCTTCCACCGAGGCAAATGTTTCTCTCAGAGAATGTACAACCGGAGAGATTCTCCCAGATAAATCAGCTAAAACTCCTCTAGGTGATGTTCAAAGTAGGATAGAGAGAGGAGGAACATTGCAAAACGAAACCCTGCATACGTCAGTAATGCTCCAGGGAAAAAGAGTTACAGAAGAAAAATCTGAAAATTGTCAAGAGTCCATTAATACAGGTGACAGGGATCGCTCAGCCTGTTCACAATATAACATTGAAAATTCCCAAGCCAGAAGAAGTTCTGGAGAATGTGCAGGTAGTGGTGTAGCCATTACAGCTACTGGGAGTGGGAACTGTCCTGAGAAAGAGCACACAGCCACAGCCATAGATGATAGCCCCACTGGCTCAGAGCCTAGGGAAGTCAGAGAAATCAGAACGGGTAACCAAAACATGACTGATAAAGCCCCCTGTGAGTCACAAGGCCAAGCCTTCGCTCCTACACCAGCACTGCATAAATTACAGCTTGCTGGGGACACTCACTCAGATGAAACGGATTTAAAGAGTCTGCAGTTTAAACTGAGAGAGTTACCCCTCGAGGGGCAGGAGCGTAACATAACAGACTGCAGGAAGGCTGAAGATGCATTGCACAAAAGGGATCAACCTTCACTTCATGGAGGAAATAAAAAAAACAAAACCAACATGGATGACCTTGAGAAAGGGGGACAGAGATCTTCGGTTAAACACAGATTGGCAGAAGTGTCTAAAGCAAACAGAAATTCCCCAGCTCAAGATTTAAGTCATAGAAGCCTTGTAGCTACCATCTTCCCCCAGAGTGGGAGCAGGCCGGGCTTTGGCTGTTTATCCCGTAGCACCTCAGAACATAATCGGCTGTTCCCTGATTCTTCTCCAAAGTGCACGGATTCCACAGGTGAAAGCAGGCTGAGTAAGGCTGGGCTGAATGAGGAGAAATCTGAAAACCCTGTCCAGGTCACCGTAAAAGTCACCAGCGAACCTTCTACACACCCTAGTGATCAGAGGTCTACCAGCATTTCACAAGTACTTCAGAATGAGTTTAAGAGTATCTCAGCGTCTCCACCGAAGCATGAGGATTCTAAAGCAGCAGCAGCAGCTCGGATTTTGGAAGTAGAGTCAGCGGTCCCAGCGCAGCTCCCGTTCACCAGCCTCAGGGTCACAGGCTGCTCCACCCAGCAGAGGAGACTCAGCTCTCCTTTCCCACTGGAGCCCGCCTGGAAATCGACAGGAAGCATCCCTCTGGCCAGCTGTCAGCAACGACAAAGGAATCTTTCATCACCAGAAACGGGGACTGAGCCACACCTCTATCGTTCAAAGAGTTTGAAAAGCATCAATGTGCATGGTGATAAGCTATGCAAAAGTCAGCCTCCGAAAGTCAGGGAGCGCCATTTTTCCGAAAGCACCTCTGTTGACGATGCCCTGAGTCGACTGACCCTCGGGAATGAATTCTCTGTTGACAATGGGTACAGTCGAAGATTCAAGTCATTTTCTGAACTTCCCTCCTGTGATGAAAATGAAAATTGGGCTTTATATGGTGACAGAACAAAAACAGGCCCCAGGTCCACAACCTCTATATCCAGACCTATCGACTATGGGATTTTTGGGAAAGAACAACAGTTGGCTTTCTTGGAGAATGTAAAGAGGTCACTCACACAAGGAAGATTATGGAAACCAAGTTTTCTTAAGAACCCTGGCTTCCTGAAAGACGATGTAGTCAACTCTCCCACACCACCAGATTCTTTAAGCTCGAATTCCCCTAGGAGTCAGGTGCCCGAAGGTGACTTGTCCCCAAGTAAGCCACTTAATATCTATGAGGAGGACCCAGTAGATTCAGACTGTGACACCGACACGACCACAGATGATGAATACTACCTAGATGAAAATGACAAAGAATCAGAACTGTGAGATTTTCTCAATAAACTGCATAAGCTTTTCACCAAAAGTCTATCGTGGAACTCGTATAAAAATGTATGCCCATGAGAAGACAGAGATAAAATATCTAGTCTGGGCAATGTCTGCACTGAAATAACCCAAATTCCCTTTCTGCCTTCCACATCCTGTATATATACTTCCTCACTTACAGAACAGTGAATTCCTGATTTGAATGATTCTCATTTCTCTCCTCCCTTTGTATATGTTCTTGGCCTGCCTTCCTGCACTTGTTTAAATCTCTAATGCACTGCATTATTTTGGCTTTGACTTTACTTTCTCCCTACTTTTCTACATCTTCATTATGATTTTTGCTCATGGTATCCCCCGCACATACAAAATTTATTAGTCACCCAGCACAGCTGCCACATTGCATTTACCTTTCCTGTCCGCACCCTGTACTCGCGATATTAGATGAAATGTGGGGATAGCAACAATGGAGTAAACTTTATCATCTGCTTGATTCATCAACATTTAGGAAGTTACTGCTTTTATTTTTTGAAACAAAGATAAAAGAGTTTTTGTGAGGGCATCCGGTTATATCCATAGTGGAGTCCAGGAGCCGCATGTTTAAAGCACATGAGGTTATAGATGAGGCGCTGAGGCCCTCTTAGCACTCCTAGAAATTCCTCTACAACAGTTCGTGGGGATTGGCTGAATTATTGAGGGCTGAATTTTAATCAAGACAAGGACATCCTCCATGCCACCCAATGATAGAGGCAATGATTTGGCCATAGACTTTCTTCTCAGGAACAGAACTGAAGGACAGAAATAAGTAACATTTCTTCATGAGACTGTCCTGCACTGTAGTCCTTTCAGCAACTGTTCTTCCCAGTTTCCCAGAACCACCCATTTCCCAAATTTTTTATTTGCAGGTTAGAACACTTCTTTTCAGGTGGGTTTTTTGTTTGTTTGTTTTTACAGATTTATTGATTTGAGAGTTACAGACAGAGAAGGGGAGAGACAGAGAGGTCTTCCATCCTCTGGTTCTGATTCACTCCCCAAATGGCTGCGATGGCCAGAACTGGGCCAATCCAAAGCCAGGGGCCAGGAGCTTCTTCCAGGTCTCCCACGTGGATGCAGGGGCTCAAGCACTTGGACCACCTTCCACTGCTTTCCAAGGCCGCAACAGAGAGCTAGGAAGAAGAGCAGCCAGCACAGGAACTGGTGCTCATATTGGATGCTGGCACTGCAGGCAAAGGCTTAACCTATTATGCCACAGTGCTGGCCCCCAGGTGGGGCATTTTAGTCCAGTACAAAATGAGAACCCTAGCCAAGCCCCTAAAATGCTGTCAGTCCAGATCTGACACTCTGAGATTTACAGCCTCTTTAAAGAATCATCTATCAAACCTTCAGGAAATTCTAACACAGAGCTCCTGGGAGCCAGTCACTGATCATTTTTTTCAATAATTTATTAAGAATAAATCACTTCTGATAGCCACTGATAATTTGAATTTCCAAATTTTTTATTTCCCATGTAGAATACCTGGCAATTTCTCTCCTAATTCAGGACAAAGATCAGTAAATGGCAGGAAAGATAATTAACTAGAACCACAGACAGCATGCAATCATGAATCTCAATAGTAGGATGAGCAATATAAATGGGTTTTATCTCATTTGTTTTATTTTTGCTTCCTGACATAATCCTATGGTCCATTTTTCTCACCTACTCTGTTTCATTCATATAAATTAAGAATAATGATAGGTGTGGTGAAGTATATAGGATCTGGAACTGACAGAAAGGCAAGGAACAGTAATAACAGACTATTATTATCATCCTCTAATCATTGCCTTGTCTAGAAACAAACTCCCAGAGCTAGATTACGTTGCTCCCAGGAAATCCACAGCTAATGAATGTGAGGTAACTAATGTGAAAGCTGTTCCTTCAATCTGCCCACTGCTTTTATACTTCAAGGTCTGACCAGTCTCAGACTCAGCAAGATCAATTGTTCTGAACTTTTCAATTCAAATGTGTAGGGTGTCTTAGGTATCTGTTGCTATAACAAAATCCCTGAGACCAGGTGATTTACAAAGAAAAGGAAGTTTATTTGTTTCATCATTCTGGAGGTTTGAACGTTCAAGAGTGTGGCCCTGACATCTGATGAGGGCCTTCTTGTTGTATCATAACCTTGAGCAGGGTATCACAGGGTGAGACCTTGCAAGTGCTTTGCTGGAGTCTTCCTCTTACAAAGCTGCCCTCCTGATGCTAATACCATTAACATATGAATTAGGGGATTAACTTTCCAACATATGAACTTTTAGGGGACACAGGTGATCCATAATATATGATGAAGAACAAATGATATTTTATTCTTTGTCTAATGTATGATCATAAATTCTTTTTTCTATTTATCTGATTATTCAAAATTTCTGTATATAATCTATGTTTTCTATGTCATTTTAATATATTCAGTTAATATTTTAATATTAAAATTCTTGATTTTTAAAATGACCAGCTTACAAGTTTATTTCAGTAAATACTCTGAGTCTAAAGGTATGCTACAAAAAGTGAATGGAGTTTCAGTGAGTTCAGGCTATGTCACAGGTATGTTAAGGCAGGGATAAACAACTGCTCTGGAGCCTGGGCCTTCTGCACTGGGCTCTACTGTCTGAATTCAAAGGTGATTGATGGCCATTACTCAGTTGCACTATTTTAATCTTTGCTTGTTGGTCTGGCTCAAGAATCAAGAAAACAAATTCATAAAAGTAGCACCTTCTACAGTTTTATATTTTTATAAAGCACTTCGTTGAAGAAGTATAGCAAATTTCTATGTATTTTAACATACAAACTGCTGCTTTTTAAAGTTCTTTTTTGATATAGTTGGTGGTTTATTATGGTCATTTTTATATTTACAACTTGTTTTCTGAAAGATATAATCAATATTAAAATAAATATGTAAGTGGAGTAAATCACGAGGGAATTGATACTAATAACTACTGTGTAAATTATTAACTTGTTTAGATATTAGACTTCTGTAACCTAAAGTTTTGTACTATTAAGTCCATTTAAAACAGAACTTAGGGGCAGGCATTTGGGGTAGTGGCTAAGGCAACAGGTAAGACACCCACGTCCCATATTGGAGTGCCTGGGTTCGATGCCTACCTTCTGCTCCTGCCTCCTGCTAATGCAGAGCCTGGGAGAGCTGGTGATGGTTCACATAATTGGGTTCCTGTCACCCACATGGGAAACCTGCCTTGATTCTTGGATTTGACCTCAGCAACGGTCTGTTGTGAGCATTTGGGGAGTGACCTGTGGTGAGAGCATTTTATCTTTGTTTCTCTCTCTCCCTCTCTGCCTCTCAAATTAAAAAAAAAAAAAAAAAAAAAAAAATTGAGATTTACCCTTACACTGTAAACACATGGATGTTACTACTAACAAAGTTCTCCTTGGTGACAACTAATGAAGGAGGTAAATATATGCACTAGAGGTGATGAAAGAAAGTCTTTGAGGTTGTGGGAAGGATGGGTGTATCTTCCATCGAATGCCAGAGTTTCAAAGGCCTTATTGCTGAGAGTGTATTGTTAATAACAATGCTTCAGAATATTCTACTTAATGCACATTGTAAATATGTACGTATTTTACTTTCCAAGAAGGTGTGAATGTGTTGCCACTTTATGGCTCTGTCTTCACTGTCAGTTCTGTGTTTCTGAAGCAATAAGCGCTTTTGTTAAAACTTTGTCAAATAATCCTTTTATGTTATTATTCTCAGACTTGTTCTTCAGTTATGAAATATGTGTTGCAAGACAGTGTAAATTTAAAACGATGCTTGTGTTGAAATAAATGATTTAAATAGATGCACTGTTTGGTTTGGTTTTATTTATATTCCCAACTATTATTTTTAAATACTTTATATTTCCAATAATTACTTTTAAATGTGAAAGCTTCAGAAAAAAATATAAAAGGGAACAGGGCAGAGGGGCTAGTGTTGTGGCGTATGCCTGTGCACCAGCATCCCATATGGGCACTGGTTCAAGTGCTGGCTGCTCCATTTCTGATGCAGCAGAAGTGTACAAACCAACCTTTCTGGTGGCTATCGAATGAGATTCTCCATATAGATAGTTTTTAAAAAGCATTGGCTTGAGGTAGAAATTGTGGCACAGTGTGCTAGGCCAAAGCTTAGGAAGCCCACATTCCGTATATTGAAGTGCTGGTTCAGATCTTGGTTACTCTGCTTCCAATCCAGCTTCCCCCTAATGCATCCAGGGTGTGCTTTATTCAAGATATTGTTACTGTCCTTGATTAAAATACTTTTGATTAGCTGGGATTTTTAGTGGTAGACAGAATATTCTCTAGCTGGTTCAAATAGACGATTTCTTTGCTCACAAACTCATTAGTAGAGTTGGGGAGATAGAATTTAGTAGAAGTCCCAAGACCAACTTCAAAAACCATGCCACTGAGTTGGACTTATCCAGGAAGTTGCTGTCTCTGCCATGACCATAAAGATGCAGAGAGACCGCTCCTGTAGAAATAAAAAGCACCAGTCTGTATAGACTTAGACATTTTTATTGCTACAATGTTTGCTGTGGCAAAAGCTTGAAATACCCAGTAAGAAATGACTAAATGATTCTGGAACATCTACATATGTAATATTAAGTCATTGAAAATGTAAGGCCTGAATAAGTTAGGAGAATTTCTGTGAGTACTAGTGAGTGAAAAAAGCAAAATCTCATTTTAATAAACCATTCACCAAAAAACTTGGATATGCATATGTATTAATGAAGGGATATATACTAAGCTATTAGTATCTATTGTTTTGTGGCCAGGTTGGTTGGTAGAAAGTGAGGGGGAGGCAGTGTTCAAAAACAGAAAAGAGATAAGGGATAGTCAAGACACCCTCTGAAAAAGAATAAGCACACATATGCACATATATGACAATATATACATGTGTGTATAATTATGATTACACACAAGTAGAAATATATGTCAGTGGCTACACAGACTTAAAAAAGGTAATTTTTTGTAAGATTTACTTCCCAGGAGAATATTTAGTAAGTTACTTTCTTTTTTTAAAGTTGATAATTATGCATGATTCTATGAAACTTGGTGTTTTATAAATGCTAGACTTTTCCTTCTAGGCCCATACTTTCTTTCCCCAACCACCCTTTCCCACCTGTGCTAGTACCCAGTCTAGGGTAAATCTGGAAGTACATCTAGAACTGTTTTAGGGATTCTGTAGTAGATACAATAGGATTAGCTGCCTACCAGATAATTTCTTCACTTCTTCCTCCAGGCTACCTGTTACTTGAAGGAATCCACATTCTGGCATGGCCCTGAGTCTGGGCATAACTGACTGGTTCAGGGAGTGAGTGCCTGACTCAGAATGGACTCATGAGTTGTTGCATTTTAGGAGGAAATACCCCTGCACTGTGAGCTTCTAGATACAAGTGAATGGTTAGTCTCACAAGCTAAAAGCCACCCCATAGGTTGTAATATATGGAAGAACAAGGACTGAGTTTATGTCCCCAGTACCTTGACGAGTACAAAAGAATACCGAATAAATATTATTGGAATAATTAAAATAAGGTATTAACATTTTGTGGGACCTAAGCTTGTATAACCCTATGTCAGGTAGTTATTAATGACATTGAAAATGAGATGCTTCTTTCAAGTTAGAGAGGAATGTATTATAAGGACACAGAGATGTCTCAGAAACCAAGGGTATTACTCATGAACTGTACCAGGATCTAGTGCACTGTAGATAACCCAGGGAGTTCTCCATATTCTCTTCCATTTTCCCTCCGCAAAGGGAAAAGAAATGAAATTTTATATCACCTCTCTTTGAGAGCAGTCGTTTACATGCTGAAATTTGCTAGCCTTATTTTTTTTTTTTTAATTTGACAGGGAGTTATAGACAGTGAGAGAGACAGAGAAAGGTCTTCCTTCCGTTGGTTCACTTCCCAAATGGCCACTACGGCTGGCGCTGCACCGATCTGAAGCCAGGAGCCAGGTGCTTCTTCCTGGTCTCCCATGCAGGTGCAGGGGCCCAAGCACTTGGGCCATCCTCCACTGCCCTTCCGGGCCACAGCAGAGAGCTGGACTGGAAGAGGAGCAGCCGGGGCTAGAACCCAGCACCCATATGGGATGCAGGCACCACAGGTGGAGTATTAACCAAGTGAGCCATGGTGCCAGCCGCTGCTAGTCTTAATTTTAAACTCCCAGGGAAAGGATTCTGACTAGCTCATCATGACTTAAGACCCGGCCAGCACCGTGGCTCAATAGGCTAATCCTCCGCCTGTGACGCCGGCACCCCGGGTTCTAGTCCCGGTCGGGGCACCGGATTCTGTCCAGGTTGCTCCTCTTCCAGTCCAGCTCTCTGCTGTGGCCTGGAAAGGCAGTGGAGGATGGCCCAAGTGCTTGGGCCCTGCACCCGCATGGGAGACCAGAAGAAAGCACCTGGCTCCGGACTTCGGATCAGCATAGCTCCAGCCGTAGCGGCCATTTAGGGGGTGAACCAACAAAAGGAAGATCTTTCTCTCTGTCTCTCTCTCTCATTGTCCACTCTGCCTTGTCAAAAAAAAAAAAAAAAAAAAACTCATGGGCCCAGTCAGCTATATAACCACAGATTAAGGTCATGTTTGCAAAGCCTCACTGTTAACAGTGTGAACTCTGGCGTGGAAACAGAGGAGAAGTTACTAGAAAAGGCAGAACCGTTATGAACTGAATGGACAACAATTAGCTATAAGTTTAATGTGACAATGTTAAGATTCCAGGGGCCAGTGCAATTTGCAGATGTGTGTTGAGTCTCATCTTTCTAGAGTTACAGAGATTAAAATTACAATGTTTTTTAGACCGAAAACCCAATACGGAGATGAGTATGAAAGAGAATGAGGAACTTCTCGAAGTGTGTCATTTACTTCAAGTCTTACACACGACCTTTCTCCTGTCTGGGCTGCATTCCTCCCCCTCTTCATGCAGCCGATTCCTTTTCAGCCTTCAAGCTTCGGCACAGACGGCATCTCTTTCAGAGCCTCTCTTGATGCGCCCCCCAAGACCAGCTTAAGTGGTTCTCATATGCAATGTGCAGTGTGTTGCGCTTACACTGGTGGGAGAGGCACTCTTACGATACCTGAACATTCATGCAGGAAATGCCAAGAAAATAAGCTCCTACTGCTCTTAATGCACACCAGCTCTCAGGGAAGCAACCTGAAGGGAGTATCTCTCTACCCACAAAAAGCAGGCTCAATTCTTTTTACCTTAAAAGTGGTATATGTTCCCTAAGCTCAGTGGTCTTCTTTTATAATACCACCCACTTCAGGCATCCAGGCCCTTTGCATTGTCCCCACAGGACTTGGTGGCCTGTGGAACCAACACAACCAGCATAAAGCTCTGCTATTACTTTCACAGTGAATTATGAGATACTTTGTCTCTGATCTAGGAGTCTTGTGCCTTTCCATGCCATCCATGAAACAGTAACAGGTTAATCTGTTAGCTTGTAGGTAGAACATCTCAGATCATGCACAGTTCATCCACAGTTTTACACCTATATGCTAACTAAATTATGTTTGTTTTCTTCTCCACTAAACCACAGGCACTTTGAAGTCAAAGTATAAAATACAGTAGGCACTGAATAAATGTTTGTTGAATGAATGAATAAAATTCAATAAAGATGAAGAATCTGGATAAAGCATTGGTTGACCTAAAGAGATATGCTAAAGAGATATCTCCACTAAACCACAGGCACTTTGAAGTCAAAGTATAAAATACAGTAGGCACTGAATAAATGTTTGTTGAATGAATGAATAAAATTCAATAAAGATGAAGAATCTGGATAAAGCATTGGTTGACCTAAAGAGATATGCTTTTTGGAGATGGATTAAGACGAGAAAAAACAGGTTGGTACAGATTCAGTATTGCTGAACACGACAGTGTTCAGATAAAATTATATAGCTTCCTGGATGTTCTTTAAAAAAAAAAAAAAGATTGGGTGTTACCCCAACTGTTATAAAATTTATTAGGCTATATTTTATTGTCATCCGGTACCAGCTAGTCCTCAGATAACTTTCCTGGAAATTTTTAAAGTCTGATTTTGGAAGAGTGTGAATAAAATGTGTTCTAAACATTTCAAGCAGACAACTCCAGAAAATATTTTTCAACAAAAGTAAAACCGAGGAAGGCTGTAGCCCTGGAACTGACCATGATCTACTACCAGATCCTGGTCATCTTTCTAAAGGACAAAGAGCAATGTCTACAACCTCCGCTGAGCACTACCCGCCAGGTCGGGAGAACTGGTGATAATGTGGGAAAGATTTTGCCCTGGTGAAACCTGGTCCTCGCAGGAATACTGGGCAGCACACTAGAGGCCGCGAGAGGCACCAAGGGCGGCGCAGGGCCTGGTGCTGCGACTGAGGCCTGCGGGGATGGTGCAGAAGCGCTGGGTCCCTCCCGGAGGGTGCGTTCCCTGCATTCACTCTGCCCAAGAAGAACGTGCATTTCCTTAAATAGGTTCAAACCATAAGAAGATGCAAGAAAAAGGAAAAACAATAAACAAAATGTGGATTACATGGTCAGAAAGGAGAGGCAGACAGGCCCTCAGAGTCTGCCAGGCTGGACGGATCAGCTTCAGCTTCTCAGGGACGGGGAAGGCCAAGGCCAACAACTCCCATCCCTTCTTGGGGTGGGGGGCGCCTGGCTTTGAGGAGAATCCCAGCCACCATGCTCAGGCCAGTCTGAGACTGCCATCGGCTGCCCCCGTGGCCCACTTGGGTCTTGGCCCAAACACCCTGGAAGCTCAGGACAAGTGTTTTGAAAGGATTGGCGGAGAGGAAATGGGGTGTAGTGGAGGGAATCACTCCAGTGCGGGAGCCTGTGGAGCAGAGACCGCGACCGCTAAACGTGGCCGCTTCGGGCGCGGGTGTCAACGCAGGGCTGTGAGAAGCGGCCTGGAGGGCAGCCGGCAGGTGACTTTGGCTCTGCTTGATGTTGAAGCTCTCCGCACGGGAATGGAGCTCTCTTCTCCCCAAGCGAGCAGCAGCAGGTCTGCGTCCTTTACGAAGGGTTTCCTCAAAACCGTGGACAAAGCCAGGCCACCGGAGATGGGCGGCGGCCGTGCCAAGCGCGCAGCCATGCGGGGCGCACCCTGGCACTCTCGGTCTCTCCGGCCGCCGCTCTCAACCCTTTCTTTCCGTGGCGGGTCCTAGGGGCCGGCGGGGAGGAGGCGCGCGGGTCCTGGCGCCCGCCCGAGTTCCCGCCCCTACACGGCCGGGGGCGGGCAGCGGCGCACAGCTCAGGCCCGCCCCCGGTCGGCCCCAGCCCTGGCCCGCGGCGCTCCCGGGCCTTCCCCGCCGCCACCGCGGAGCCCGAGCGCAGCGGCGCGGCAGCCATGCGCCGCCTGCCGCGGGCCGTGCAGCTGCTGGTGCCGCAGCTCGCCCTGCTGGTAGTCGCCGGGGCCCCGGAGGCGCCGGTGAGCGCGCCGCGGAGCCTGGTGTGGGGGCCCGGGCTGCAGGCGGCCGTCGTGCTGCCCGTCCGCTATTTCTACGTGCAGGCGGTCAACGCGGAGGGCCAGAACCTCACTCGCTCGCCCCCAGGTAGCGTCCAGCCGCGGGCCTCCCTCGCCCTGCCGCCCGGGAGTCGGCCTGAAGCCTGCGTGGCGTCCTCTCTGGGGGTCTGCCCAACCTTTCTCTTCCTCCTCCTCCTCCTTTCTCCCTCCCGGACACTCCGGCAGGAGGGAGTCGCCATAGAAGTTTGTGGAATGGATGAATGAGTCTAGGGGCCCTGCCACATCGTGCAGGAGGGATGGGCTGCTCGCGTGTGGGAGGACGGTGCTTCCGCCTCTGACTTTGGCCTCAACTGTGGGAGCAAGCAGGGCGTGCCTACCCGCATGAGTCATCAGGTCCATTACGTTGTCTGGGCCTGATGGGTTTGAAACAATTGCCACCCTGACGAAATGTGGGGCAGAAGGCCAAAAGGAGGCAGTTTTTTGCATGCTACGTTTTCTTCTTAGCTTTAAGTCCTTGAAAGCATTTTACAGGAACTGGAGAAACTCAGTAGAAAGTCAGATTTTTTTCCTCTGCCGAGGGTGGATCTTGTCCCGAATCCCTCTCTTCAGGTCCTTCCTCCCACGTTCTTTACATCTTGCAACTTCTTAGGACTTGCCTTGCTGGTTTCAAGTTGTTGCCAGTTAGGATAGCTAATTTATGTCTTATGTTTAGGGCTGCCAGCCAGCTGGCACAGTGCTTTATCAACAAAGAGGCAATCAGAGTAAGCCAAGGGTCCCTTCCTCTGACAGCCAGACTGGGAAGTGGGCCCCAGTTTGGGATGGAGCGTGGAGAGCTTAGGAAGAGCAGAGATTTTAAGATGCAAACATAATTCACTTTTAGATTTAATTTTTTATAAGATTTATTTATTTATTTATTTATTTGAAAGGCAGAGAGAGGTCTTCCATCCACTGGTTAACTCCCCAATTGGCCACATCGGCCAGAGTCACGGCAAACTGAAGCCAGGAGCTTCCTCTGGGTCTCCCACCTGGATGCAGGGGCCCAAGGACTTGGGCCATCTTCTGCTGCTTTCCCAGGCCATAGCAGAGAGCTGGATCAGAAGTGGAGCAGCCAGGACTTGAACCAGCTCCCATTTGGGTTGCCGGCACTGCCACAGCGCAGGCCCCTAGATTTAATTTTTAAACTTTCCATTCATTCATCGAATTCTTACTGGCTGTCTATATGTTGGGTATTCTGCTAAGGATATAAGAATGAGAAGACAATGCCTGCCCATCAAGGAACTTGCCTTCTGTTGCACAAATGGACTTGCAAACAGCCAATCACAGAACGTATATTTGGGGCAATGAAGGCATGACAGAGTACAGTGGATGGGGCCAGCACTGTGTAGTAGTGGGTAAAGCCACTGCCTGCAGTGCGGGCAGTCCATGTTGGCACCAGTTCAAGACCTGGCTGCTCCACTTCTGAACTCTGCTGTGGCCTGGGAAAGCAGTGGAAGATGGCCCCAGTCCTTGGGCCCCTGCACCCGCATGGGAAGACCTGGAGGAAGCTCCTGGCTCCTAGCTTTGGATCGGCGCAGCTCTGACCATTTTGGCCAATTGGGGAGTGAACCAGCAGATGGAAAACCAATCTCTCTCTCTCTCTCTCTCTGCCTCTCCTTCTCTCTCTGTGTAACTCTTTCAAGTAAAATGAATAAATCTTTAAAAAAAAAAAAAAAAGAGTGCAGTGGAAACAATTGAGGAGCTGCCAGGCTGCCTAGGCAAGAGTGGGAAGACTGCAGGAGCACAGATGTGAAGGAGGAGAGGGTTTTCCGGGCAAGTAGGCAGTGCTGTTTTCCTGTTTCCCAGTCACCCTTAATAAGAGTGTGGAGCATCAGTTCTCAGTAAGATCTTGGCAGGTATCCATGACCTGCAGGGGCTGGACACTTCTGAAGGTTTTCCATTTAGTGTCTTAGCGTAACATCTTGGCCTTCTGGGATTCTCTTCCCTTGACCATGTAGCATCAGCACTTTTGTTGTGGCTGCAAAGAGCTGTCATAAACTTCCTATAGTACAGGGGGTGGGAGTATGACTGCATTGTACTAGAGGTACCAGAGACATCATTCCAACGTTGAATCCTGCCAAGCTGCATTCAGATGTTGACTCTGCTAGTCGCTGCTGTATTTATGACATTGTGCAAATTCCTTAACTTCCTGGAGCCTTAGTTTCTTGACCTGTAAAATGGGGGTGACAAATACCTACCTCACAAATTCTTATAGGAAATAAAGGAGTTGGAAAATATATATGGGTCTAGCATTGTGGCAAAGCAGGTAAAGCCACCACCTGTGATAGCAGCATCCCATATAGGCACCAGTTTGAGTCCCAGCTATACCACTTCTGATCCACATCCCTGCTAATGGCTTATGAAAAGTAGCAGAAGATGGCATAAATGGGCCTCTGCTACTTACATGGGAGACAGGGATGAAGCTCCTGGCTCCTGGCTTAAGCCTGGCCCAGCCCTGGCCATTGTGGCCATCTGGGGAGTGATCCAGCAGGTGGGAGACACCTCTGTGTGTGTGTGTGTGTGTGTGTGTGTCCCTCTTTCTGTAACTCTTTCAAATAAATAAATCAATAAATCTTATTAAAAAAAAAAAAAACAAGAAGAAAATGCATATGATGTAGGAAAGAACTGGTTTCAGGACCTGGCTCACAATAGAGGTTAAGTAGGTAAGTTTTTAGAAATGCTTTTGATATTTTCCAAATCAGTAATTTTCAACATTTCTAATGATGTAAGTTGTACATACTGCTTTTGTTTACACAGTCACTGCACTCTCATCTTATTAGCTATTTCTCTAAATGAAGTTTGATCTATGGAGTAGAAAACCCAAGCTGAATTTCAATTCTGATTCTTAATTTTTAATTTTTTTATTTATTTGACATATAGAGTTAGTAAGAGAGAGAGAGAAAGGTCTTCCTTCTGTTGCTTCCTTCTGTTGGTTCACCCTCTAAATGGCCGCTATGGCCGGAGCTACGCCGATCTGAAGCCAGGAGCCAGGTGCCTTCTTCCTGGTCTCCCATGGGGTGCAGGGGCCCAAGCACTTGGGCCATCCTCCACTGCCTTCCTGGGCCACAGCAGAGAGCTGGACTGTAAGAGGAGCAGCCGGGATTAGGACCTGGCACCCATATGGGATGCTGGCACCACAGGTGGAGGATTAATCAAGTGAGCCACGGCACTGGCCCCTCAATTCTGTTAGATTTTTTTTTTGGGGGGGGGGTAGGCAGAGTGGACAGTGAGAGAGAGACAGAGAGAAAGGTCTTCCTTTTGCTGTTGGTTCACCCCCCAATGGCTGCCGCAGCCGGCGCACCGCGCTGATCCGAAGGCAGGAGCCAGGTGCTTCTCCTGGTCTCCCATGGGGTGCAGGGCCCAAGCACTTGGGCCATCCTCCACTGCACTCCCTGGCCACAGCAGAGAGCTGGCCTGGAAGAGGGGAAACCGAGACAGAATCCGGAGCCCCAGCTGGGACTAGAACCTGGTATGCGGGCGCCGCAAGGCGGAGGATTAGCCCCTTGAGCCACGGCGCCGGCTAATTCTGTTAGATTCTGTTAGCCCCCAGTGCAAATGAGAATTCATTCACATTCTCTCTAGTTGAATTAATTTCATCCTTTACTCTTCTCACTTTCTCTTTAAAGATTTATTTACTTTTTATTTGAAAGGCAGGGATACACAGAAGAGTTGGGGAAGACACAGAGAGATATTCTATCCATTAGTTCACTCCCCAAATGGCCACAATGTCTTGGCCAGGTCGAAGCCAGGAGCCAGGAACCTGTAGCTTCATCCAGCTCTCCCACGTGGGTGGCAGGGACTCAAGTACTTGGGGCCATCTTTTGCTGCTTTTTCCAGGCCAGTAGGAGGAGCTAGATCAGAGCAGCTGGGACTTGAACTGGCACCCATAGGGAATGCTGGTGTCACAGGTAGCAGTTTAACTCACCATGCCACAATGCAGGCTTCTCTCACTTTCTCTTTTATGACGTTAGAATTTCGTGTTTCTGTTTCAGTCCCGATCAATACTATTTTCTGTTGATTTTTATAATTTAATGCTAATAAAGATTAGTAAAAATTACGAATAAAATATATATTTGCATTTCCATTGGCTTTATTATACTGTTATAATTGTAAATACTTTTTTTTTTTTTAAGTTACAGGAGATAGGCAGAGAGAGAGAGAGAGAGAGATAAGGAACATTCCATCCTCTGCTTTGCTCCCCAGATAGCTGTAACCACTGGAGATGGACCATTCTGTAGCCAGGAGCCAGGAGTGTCTTCCGGATCTCCCACATGGATGCAGGGGCCCAAGCACTTGGGCCATCTTATGCTGCTTTCCCAAGCACATTATTAAGGAGCTGGATTGGAAGTAGAGACTTGAACCAGTGCCCATATAGGATGCTGGTGTCACAGGCAGTGGCTTTACCTGTTATGCCACAGCGCCAACCCCATAAATATGTTTTATTTAAAAATTTTGTTTTATTTATTTGAGAGGTAGAGTTACAGATGGAGCAAGAGACAGAGAAAGGTCTTCCATCTACTGGTTTGCTCTCCAGATGGCTGCAACAGCTAGACTTGAGCAAATCTGAAGCCAGGAGACAGGAGCTTCTTCTGGGTCTCCCACGTGGGTGCAGGGGCCCAAGGACTTGGACCATCTGATACTGCTTTCCCAGGACCATAGCAGAGAGCTGGATCAGAAATGGGGCAGCTGTGCCCATATGGGATTCCGGTGCTACAGGCAGCGGCTTAGCCCGCTACGCCACAGTGCTGGCCCCATAAATATATTTTTAAATACAACTTTTTAAGTACTGTCTCAGAGACAAAAGTATTAAAATTGGAAGAAGCCAGTGATGTAGTTAGTAGTTTCGATTTATTAATAATGAGGTGTATTTACGGAATTTGTTCTATAAGTCTACTTCTTTCCCAAAAAATCATACTCAGTAATAGATTTGTCTCATATCTGTTTTATTTACTTAAAATAGCAGATTTATGGAAAATAAGAATATTTGATCAGGAGACAAAAAATCCTTTTTATATCTCTCCAGTTTGGAAAGGGAGCAATGGAAATAGCTTTCTAATTCCCAGACTCTGCCCTCCCGATTTTCAGTCTGCTGCACCATGTAGCCTTTAAAAGCCAGGCGGGAAATGATGCAGAGCAATGATTAATGTGTCTCATATTTTCCTTTTTTTTTTGACAGGCAGAGTGGACAGTGAGAGAGACAGAGAGAAAGGTCTTCCTTTACCGTTGATTCACCCTCCAATGGCTGCTGCAGCCAGCGCGCTGCAGCTGGTGTGCTGTGGCCGGCGTACCACACTGATCCAAAGCCAGGAGCCAGGTGCTTCTCCTGGTCTCCCATGAGGGTGCAGGGCCCAAGCACTTGGGCCATCCTCCACTGAACTCCCGGGCCATAGCAGAGAGCTGGACTGGAAGAGGGGCAACCAGGACCGAATCCAGTGCCCCGACCGGGACTAGAACCTGGTGTGCCGGCGCCATAAGGCGGAGGATTAGCCTAGTGAGCCGCGGTGCCAGCCCTCATATAGGATTTCAATTTCACATTCAATTATTACCTTTTTATAACATCTTCTATGTTTATTCTGTATTATGTTAATTCATTTATGTTAGAAATTCCTTTCATAATTTTATCTTACTTGTTAAAGGCATCCTAAAATGTTGAAGTTTGGTACTTAACTTGTAATGGCAAGGTATTAGATACTACTTTCCTCTTACTAAATTGAAGAGGCTGAGAAACATTTCTTCCGAACCACATACACACACATACACAAAATAGAACCCTTGAAGATCAAAAGAAAGTAGAAACTCACGCTGACAGGATTTGGAAACCAAGAATAGGGAATAAAACTATTCAGTAATTTTTAAAAGGCACATTAAATATGCCTAATTCATAGCAGAATGGATGTGAGATGAAAGGTAATTTGCTCACAACTTACCGTTTGCTGGGACAGTGGGTATGAGATGATTCACTACGCCTTCAGAGCGTTGCACTGTGATACGATCTGAATGGTGTTCCCATTGCACTCTGCAGAAAGAGGCTGCAGAGTATATTCCTGGACCACAGTAGCATTAATCCCAACAGTATTGTTTCAAAGGCTGAATAAATCTGCCAATAGAAAAGGGCACGTTTGTTAAGAAGGCAGTTTTTCACCTGGAACAAAACATCCAAAGAATTTGGGAGTTGAAGGGGAATATCATAGTGTAACTATTTCATTTCGAGGTAAAGAAACAGAATCAAGTAAACGCTAGTATTTACAAAGGTATGTAAATTGTGTGTGTGTGTATGTATGTATATATACAGTGTGATAACTAGATATAATCTCTTTTTACCTAAAGGAATAGGCTTAAAAATATCACTTGAAATTTGAGTTTAATAAGGGAGAAATTCAGAAATGAGAATTCTTACATATTTAAATGATATACAAAGAAAGCTTGTATATTTTACAAGGAGAAAATTGAAATACTATAAAAGACTGTCATTCTTAGAGTTCTTAGATTTTTCAACTATCCTGGCTTTAATGTTTTTTTATGAATTGAATTTGTTCATTCTGTAAGTCATTATGGACTTGAGGTGTCCAATGTTGAATCAGATTCTTGGTTTGAAGACATGAACCAGATGTAGTTCTTTTCTTCCAAGCTGGAAACATCTTGTTTACCATTGATGCTACAGGAAAAAGTAGCTTCTATCTAGAGACATTTCCAATGATGGCATGATAATCATTAAGTAGTAGAGTTATTTATTTCTTTTCCTTTTTCAGGTGAAACGTTATTCAAAGTAGTAGTCAAATCTCTTTCATCTAAAGAGCTGGTCCGGATTCATGTCCCTAAACCTTTGGACAGGAATGATGGAACGTTTTTGATGAGATATAGAATGTATGAAACTGTCAACAAAGGGCTGAAGATAGAGGTCCTTTATGGTGGTGAACATGTGGCTCAATCTCCCTATATTTTAAAAGGTAAGTGATTATTATATAACCCAGAGCTAGTCTTATGTGTAGGGCCCATGCCTTTCAGAATGGTTTACGATGACCTTGAAGTCATGTGCCACAAAATAAACACTGTATACATGCTGAAGTTCATTTTTTTTATTTTATTTTTTTGAATTTTGAGTTAACATGTAATATTTATACATTTTTACAGGGTATACTGCAATGTTTGAATACATATACACAGTGTAAAGTGATCGTAACAGGCTATTAACCTTTCCATGTCCTTATCTCTTCACTGTGTTCAGAGCCAATAAGCTCTTCTCTTCCAGTCCTTTATGCAGTGTATAATCCATTATCATGAACCATAGTCACCCCATTGTTCTCCACCTGTGTTTCAATACCCATTAGCTAACCTCCCTCTGTGTCCCTCCCCCACCCTTCCCAACTTCTAGTAATTACTATCTCAAATTCAGATTGTATGTACGTATATATATACATATACATGTAAATATATACATGGTTTCTTTTAACTTTTACATGAGAGAAAACTTATCTTCCTATTTCTGTCTTGCTTCATTTAACACAATGATTTCCAGTTCCATTCATTACACTGCAGATGTTAAGATTTCATTAGTTTTTGTGGCTGGATAATATTATATTGCATATGTATACCACATTTTCCTTATCCAGTTATCCATTGATGGACACCTAGGTTGATTCCATGTCTTGGCTATTGTGAATAGTGCTACAATGAACATGGGAGTGCAGGTATCTCTTTGATAGGCTGATTTCATTTCCTTTGGATATGTACCCCGAATATATAGCTGGATCATATGGTAGATGTATTTTTAATTTTTTCATGAACCTCCATACTGGTCTCCACAGTAACTGTACTAATTTGCACTCCCACCAGCAGTGTGTTGGGGTTTTATTTCCTCTATATCCCACCAACATTTGTCTTTTGCAGTTTAGATAACAGCCATTCTGACTGGAGTGGAAAGGCATGTCATTGTGGTTTTGATTTGCATTTCCATGATGGCTAGTGGTACTGACATTTTTTCACGTGTGTGTTAGCCACTTAGTATTTCTTTTTTTGATGTGTCTATTCGGATCCTCTGCCCAATTCTTAACTGGATTTTTTGTTGTTGTTAATGAAGTGTTTTTAGTTACTTATTTATTTTGGATATTAATCCTTTGTCAAGTGTATAGCTTACAAATATTTATTCCTGTTCTGTCAGTTGTGTCTCCCCTTTGTTGATTATTTCCTTTCCTGTGCAGAGGCCTCTTGGCTTGGTATCATTCCATCTGTCTGGTCTTGCTTTTGTTGCCAGTGCTTTTGAGGCTTATCACAAAAAACATCACTGCCTATTTTGGTGTCTTAGACTTTTGTGAATAGCTGCAATGAACATGGGTGTGCAAGTAGTTTCGTAGCTTCAGATTTTACATTTAGATCTTTTAACCTGAGATTTTTTTTATAAAATGTTGCATTTATTTCTTTGAAAGGCAACATGACAGAAAGGCAGAGCCGGAGCCAGATCTTCCATCTACTGGTTCTCTCCCTAGATGGCCACAACAACCAGGGCTGGGCTGGGCTGGGCCACAGACTGGAGCCCAGAACTCCATCCGAGTCTCCCATGTGGGTGGCAGGGATTGAGCCATTAGCAGGAAGCTGGACTGGAAGTGTAGCTAAGGACTCCAATCCATAAACTCCAATAAGGGATGCAAATGTCCCAAGCCACAGCCTAACCTACAGCACCAGAATGCCCACCCTTTAACTTGTAATTTTAAGGAGAAAAAAAATTGAGTAATTTAATGAGATTTAGTGAGAAGAAAAAATATATGTTTACCCATGTAATTCCCATATTCAATACTCTTCATTCTTTTGTTTAGATCACAATTTCTAAGTGCCTCAGTGATTTCCACTAATATTACTTCTATTGTAAGAACACTAACAATGAATTCTTCAAGCTTTTGAGTGTCTGGCAGTATTTAGTTTTCTTTCTTTTTTTTTTAAAGCATTTATTTATTTATTTGAAAGCAGCATTACAGAGAGAGAAAGGGAGAGGCAGAGAGAGATCTTCCATCTGCTGGTTTAGTCCTCAAATGGCTGCAATGGTCAGAGTTGGGCTGATTCAAAGCCAGGAGCCAGAAGCTTCTTCTGGGTCTCCCACATGGGTGCAGGGCCCCATGCACTTGAGTCATCTTCTGATGCTTTCCCAGGTACATTAGCAGGAAGCTGGATCAGAAATGGAGCAGCTGGGACTTGAACCAGTACCCATATGGGATGCTGGCACCTCAGGTGGCAGTTTTATGCCACAGTGCCAGCCCCTTGCCTGCCTGTCTGCTTGTTTGCTTGCTTGCTTTTTTTAAGATTTATTTATTTGGAAGGCAGAGTTACAAAGAAGCAGAGACAGAGAGAGAGAGAGAGAGAGAGAGGGAGGGGGAGAGAAACAGAGAGACCGAGAGACCTTCCACCCACTGGTTTACTCCCCAAATGGCCGCAATGGCCAATCTGAAGCCAGGAGCCAGGAGTTGCTTCCAGGTCTCCCACACCGGTTCAGGGGCCCAAGCACTTGGACTATGCTCTGCTGCTTTCAGGCTGAAGCAGAGAGCTGGATGGGAAGTGGAGCAGCTGAGTCTTGAACCAGCACCCATATTGGATGCTGGCACCTCAGGTGGTGGTTTTACCTACCTCACCACAGTGCCAGCGCCCTTTGCCTTCATTTTTAAGTCATTTTCTCTGTGTATAGAATTTACGTTGACAGGGTTTTCTTCTCATAGTACTTTACAGATGTTATCCCACAGACTTTTTACTTCTATTTCCAACAGTAAACTTTACCATTATGCTTATCAGTGTTCCTCTGTATTGCTTTTAAGGTTTTCTCCTTATCAACTGTTTTGAGCTGTTTGTTTATTGCATACCATGGTATAGCTTTAATTTTGTTCATATATTTTGTGCTTGGAGTTTTTTTTGTTGTTGTTGTTTGTATTTTAGATTTATTTATTTGAAAGGTAGAGCTACAGAGAGAGAGGAAGAAAGAGATCTTCTGGGGCTGGCACCATAGCATAGCAAGTGGAGTCTCCACCTGCAATGCTGTCATCCTATATGGGTGCCAGTTCAAGTCCCTGCTGCTCCATTTCTGATCCAGCTCCTTGCTAATGCACCTGGGAAAGCAGCAGAAGATGGCCCAAGTGCTTGGGCCCCAGCACCTACTTGGAAGACCCAGAGGAAGCTCCTGGCTCTTCTTGGCTTTGGTTTGGCCCAGCTCCAGCTGTTGCAGCCATTTGGGTAGTGAACCAGTGGATGGAAGATTGATCTCTCTTTCTCTGTCTCCCTTTCTCTCTAACTTTGGCTTTCAAATAAATAAATCCTTAAAAACAAGGAAGAGAGAAAGATAAAGAGAGAGAGAGAGAGAGAGAGAGAGAGAAGGAGGGAAGGAGGGAGAAAAGAAAAGAGATCTTCTGTTGCTGGTTCACTCCCCAAATGGCTGCAACAGCCAGGGCTGAGCCAGGCTGATGAAACGCCATTATAGGTCTCTGACATGGGTGTCAGGTACCCACGTACTTGGGCTATTTTCCACTGCTTTCCCAGGCACATTAGCAGGGAGCTGAATGAAAAGTAAAGCATATGGGACTCAAACTGGTGCTCATGTGGGATGCTGGCATCACAGGTGGCAGCTGAAGCCACTGCACCATGACACTGGCCCCATTTGCTTGGGTTTTATGGAGCTTCTTTGATGTTTGAATTCATAGTTTTAATCCAATTAGAAAAATTATCATTCAGTTTAGAAAAAATCTTGACTACTATTTCTTTAAATATTTTTTCTGTTCTACTTAAACCCCTTTGAGGATTCTGATTGCCCATTTGTTAGGCTTGAAATCATCCCATGGTTCGTGATACGCTTCCATTTGTTTAAAATTCTTTTTTCTTACTATTTTATTTTGTATAGTTTTTTTTTTTAATCGCTATGTCTTCAAGCTCACTAATCTTTGCTTCTCTAATGTCCAACTTGTCATGAATCCCAGACATCATATTTTTCATCTCTTGGTGCTTTTCATCCTCTTGAGCTTTTCCCAGGGATACGAAGTTATGTGGTTGAGTTACTTAGAAATAATTCTTTTTAGTTTTGCCTTTACAGTTTGTTAGATAGGACTAAAACCTTGTGTAGTCTAGGGCTAATTATTTCCCCCTACCGAGGCAATACCTTTCTGCACCCTGTCCTCAAGCCCCATGAGTTAGGAGGCTGTCAGTGCGGCCAGCACCAGTAGCATTGTTCTGAGGCGTCTGTGAGCTGTGGACATTCTTCCCTGCAGGTATTTCTGGTGGGTGCTCCCCTGTCTGGATGGTTTCTGCACATCCACACACTGGTCATCTGCTCTGTTGAGTATGTGTTTGAAAGGAGTCTTGTGCAGATCTCTGGAGTCCTCTCTGCGCACAGGTCTCTTCTTTCAGATCTCTGTCCTACAAATTCTAGCTGCCTTGATCTCCAGGACTCTCAGCCCAGCCTGTTCAACTCAGCACGACCGCCAGGGTCTACCTACAGTTGCCTTCCCTCACTGCAGCCTTTAAACAGTAAACTCTAGGAACTGTAGTCTTCACCTTAGTTCTTTCCTACTCTCAGACTCAGCTGTGTCCTACCTTGCATGGTGTCCAGTGTCTTGAGAACTGTTGTTTCATTTATTTCATCTGGATTTTTTTAATAGTCCTGGGTGGAAAGCTAGGTCAGTCCCTGTTACTCATCTTGGCCTAAAGTACAAATGCTCAAGAAATATAATAATTTAACCAATTATTCTTATGTGAAATATATATCTTACAACAAGATATAAAATTCACATAATTTTAATAAAATCTTTGGAAAAATTAAATGCTATTATTGGCCAATTAAAGTTATACTACCAGACCTCCCCCAACCAGGGTTACATATTTCTTCTTTGAGATATGCTGTTGAAGGTGATTTTAAGGGTTCAGAGAAGGAGACGCCATCTTATTTTTAGGAAATTATCATCCCTACTATATTCTAAAGGCTAAAACTTAATATAATCTCTTTTACCGTGTTGAAAGGCAAATTGTTTTATTTTCCTCAGTCATTTATATCTCACTAGACATGAGTTTATCAGCCAGTTGACCTGGAGTAGATTACTTGAAGAGAGTGCATGTGCTGTGCTAGGTTGTCCAGGATGTTTGGAAAAGGGGACAGAAAGCAGGAGTATCGGACCCTGAACCAGGTACTTGTACCACTGACTTGTCTAGGGGAGTTCATCTGTGGAGAATCTTCAAATTGATTAAGGAGACAGAAACAGCTGCCTGTGTGGGTGCTTGTTAAAGGCGTGTGGCCGTCTCTGTTTTGTCCCCCTAGGACCAGTGTACCACGAGTACTGTGAGTGTCCAGAAGAGGAGCCCCACATTTGGCAGAAAACCCTTTCCTGTCCGACCAAGGAACCACAGATTGCCAAAGATTTTGCTTCCTTCCCCAGCATCAATCTTCAGCAGATGCTAAATGAAGTCCCCAAAAGGTTTGGGGATGAGAGGGGCGCCATTGTTCATTACACTATCCTCAATAATCGCATTTACCGGAGATCTTTAGGGAAATACACAGACTTCAAAATGTTCTCTGATGAGATTTTGCTGTCACTAGCAAGAAAGGTAAGACAGTGAATGAACTGACCCCAGTAATCCTATTGTTGCCTTGTTGCATTCGAACATTTAAATGCTTAGAATTATAATGGCAAAAGGATGAAAATGGATCTGTCTTTCCTGTGAGATTTAAATTGAAAGGCTTGAACCTCTAGCCTAGGTAGCTGGTCCATACAGTACACTCCCAAGGTCTCTGTGAATGCTTAGATGTTTATAGCCTCAAAGTCACTTCTTTAAGTTCTCTGTTCCTGAAGAATACTCCCTCCTTTCAGATTGAGTTTTGCCTTTACAGTTGGTTAGATAGGACTAGAACCTTGTTTAGTCTAGGGCTATTAATCACCTCTGCCACTGTTCTTCTCTTCTCAAATGACCTGAACCTAGAGCACATTTTCCTTTTTTATTTTTTTTTTTTTAGTATGGAACGCTTCACGAATTTGCGTGTCACCCTTGCGCAGGAGCCATGCTAATCTTCTCTGTGTCGTTCCAATTTTAGTATATGTGCTGCTGAAGTGAGCACACTTATCTTAAGCACCTCTTTTTTTATATATAAAGATTTATTTATTTATTTGAAAGAGTTACAAAGAGAGAAGGAGAGGCAGAAAGAGAGAGAGAGGTCTTCCATCCTCTGGTTCACTCCCCAATTGGTTGCAGTGGCCTGCGCTGCACTGATCCAAAGCCAGGAGCCAGGAGCTTCTTCCTGGTCTCCCATGTGGGTACAGGGGCCCAAGGACTTGGGCCATCTTCTACTGCTTTCCCAGGCCATAGTAGAGAGCTGGATTGGAAGTGGAGCGGCCGGGGCTTGAACCGGTGCCCATATGGGATGCTGGCACTGCAGGCGGCAGCTTTACCCACTACGCCACAGTGCCAGCCCCAAGCACCTCTTGAAAAGAGTGTGCATGACACATTTTATGGAAGGTTAGAGTAATAGAGATTACTTTGTACTCATGCGACTTTAAAAATAAACAAAACCCCTAACATTTAAAAATAGACATTGAGGGCTGGCACTTAGCATGGCAGTCAGACAGTTTGGGATGCCCACATCCTATATTGCAGTACCTGGGATAGAGTCCCGGCTCTGCTCCCCATTCCTGCTTCTTGCTGATGCATACCCTGCAAGGCAGCAGCTGATGGCCCAGGTACTTGAGTCCTTGCCACCCACATGGGAGACCCAGATGGATTCCTGGCTCCTGACTTTGGCCTGGCCAACCCCAAGCTTTTGCAAGCATTTGGGGAATGAACCAGTGAATGAGAGCTTTCTCTGTGTGTCTCTGTCTCCCTCTCTCTCTAAATAAATCAATAAATATTTTTAAAGTAAAAAGATCCCTGTACTGATCAGACTCTCAGTCATTCTTACCTCTGGGAATTTCTCTCTGGCTGTCTTCGGCCTTCGGGTCTAGGCCACTTACTAAATATGCTTGGTTCTCCTGTCTTTCAGGCTCTCCATATCTCCCAACAACTTTCTTCTGTCCCATTATTCACCCCCCTTTCCACCAATGCTGCACTTAAATTCCCCTTGAGCAGATCTGTTCAAACCAGCGTTTGTTCTTTCTTGTTCCTGATGATTCAGGGTGAAGGATGGAGGCAGGCAACGAGATACACAGCAGACTCATAGAATGGCAGATGTCCTAAACAGCACTCTGGCCTCAGAATCAGCCCTTAAGGCATGTGGATCCGGCTGAAATGCCCATGAGAGTATTTCAGGCATGGAAAGCCAAGACACTCTGGGGAAAAAAAAAAAAAAAAAAAAAACTAAATGAAAGATCTCCGCAAGTGAGATCCCAGTGGAAACAACGAGTCATCAAAGAAGGAGGTACCTTTCTCTGAAGGGAGGAGAGAACTTCCACCTTGACCATGGCCTTGTCTAAATATGATCAGAGTCAGTGAACTCAGGGGGCTTCCATAGCCTTGGTAGCTCATGACAAGAGCCTAGGGTGATTACTGAGGCCATAAACAAGAGTGTCAATTTGTTAAGTCAACAACAGGAGTCACTGTGCACTTACTCCTCATGTAGGATCTTTGTCCTTAGTGTGCTGTACATTGAGATTTAATGCTATAACTAGTACTCAAACAGTACTTTACACTTTGTGTTTCTGTGTGGGAGCAAACTGTTGAAATCTTTACTTAATGTATGCTAAACTGATCTTCTGTATATAAGGAGAATCGAAAATGAATCTTGATGTGAATGGAAGGGAAGAGGGAGTGGGAAAGGGGAGGGTTGCGGGTGGGAGGGACGTTATAGGGGGGAAGCCATTGTAATCCGTAAGCTGTACTTTGGAAATTTATATTCATTAAATAAAAGTTAAAAATAAGAAATATATATTTATTTAAAAAAAAAAGGATGGAGGCAGGTCATTTTATCCTTCTCACCCAGGGAGACAATCAAGACCATTTTTTAAACCATAAGACAGTTTTCTGGGTAGGAACTTCCCGATAGAATCCCCCAAGTTTCTCATATAATTTCCCAAGTATGGTGAATGTGTGGCTGATGTCAGCTCTTATTTTAAATAGCAGTCACCCTCCCACTATGGCCAGCTCACAATGTGTCCATATGAGCATATTATAGGCACCTGATCCTAAAGGAGAGCTCTCTTCCTAGGCTACCACCTGTCAGCTCTGCCCTGTACTGTGTCCTGTACTCATGTTCTTGCCTGTATCTTGACTAGCTTTCAGCCAGGGATGATTTTGTCCTTTTGTGGACCTTTGGCAGTGTTTAGAGATGTTTCTGGTTGTCACAACTCAGGAATTGTTAGTAGCATCCGGTGAGTAAACACACTGCAACGTGCAGTACTGTCCCCACAGCAATGAATTAGCCAACCCCAGATGTCAGTTCTGCAAGGATCAGAAACCCTGCTGCCTACTAAGAATTTCTGATGCCGGGTTTATTAATGAATGCGTGGATGATAGACAAGCAAGAGGGTGAATTCTCACATCCTTTACTCTTCACTTTTGTTCCCGCTTCTTTGCTGAGGTGGCATGGAAGAAATCTAAGATAAATAGCACTCAGACCTGGTCTTTAAGCAGCCTACTCTAGTGGGCCTTGTTTTTGTTCTTTCAAAGTTGTACCACAGCTTGTTAGACCTCTAGGAAAAGCAGGGACCCAGGGTTCAAGTCATAGAGGAGGGAAAGTCATGGAGGAAGTAAGGTTAGATCTCGGCTTGACGGATGAGAAAAGGGACTGACAAGTTGAGTAAGTAGAAGAGCACTCCAAGCAAAGGGAATGACATAGTAAATGGATGGCATTTTCAGACAGTAGCCTGAAGTTTACTGGTCCTTAGGCAAGTGGATTTCAAGCTAAGCTACAGTAAGATCTTGAGAACTTAAATTCCAGCCAGCATTTATTCCTTGTCCATGGGCTTAAGGTAATGTTAAGATTAGCAGTGACATTAATTTGGGTTTTATGAATTTGGTCAGAGAATAGATTGGAGTGGGGAACAGGACAGAATCAGAACACTTAGTAAGGAACTATTGTAGCAGTCGAGGCAAGAGATGATAAGAGCCTAAACCAAGGCAGTGACTGTGGACGTGAAAATAGGGTGGCAGATCCAAGAAACAGGTCAGTGTGGTCAAGAAGGGGATCCTGAAGGAGACTTGTAGATTCTTGCTTGGGCAGCTGCTGGAGAGGGTTCTCAAAGCTACTCCTCATACTGCTTTACCTTGTTTCCACTGCTGTAATGCTAAATTGTAGAAACCCCTGTAGACAGAGGGAGCTGACAGCTGGTTAAGTGAATTTGCCTTGTACTATCCTCAGCCATGGTTCCTGGATACTACTGAGAGCTGCAAGGTGTTCTCTTCTGTTTTCAAATGGTCTGTGCTATCAGCAATACTTAAAAAGTCAAAGAACTGTAGTGTTTAGTACTGAAGACATCAGCACTGATGTTGATACTTTTGTTTATTTAGGTCCTTCTCCCAGACTTAGAATTTTATATCAATCTTGGAGACTGGCCCTTGGAGCATCGAAGAGTGAATGAAACCCCTGGCCCTATACCAATCATTTCATGGTGTGGCTCTCAGGATTCAAGAGATATTATCCTTCCAACATACGACATCACCCACTCCACACTTGAAGCAATGAGGGGTGTGACAAATGATCTCCTCTCTATTCAGGGAAATACAGGTAAATTAAAGTGATTTCTCTAAGAAAAAGTCTAGAAGAAAAAAAAAAAGTGACGGTATTATCCAGTTAGAGAGAGTAAATGTATACAGCTAAATAACCAGTCTTATTTTCTAACCAAGAAAAAAAGAGAAACAGTACCCTAAACGCTGAAGTGGTTTGTTTAGGATTCTCCTAATCCCGAAATTAAAGATACATGGTCTGGGCTAGTAATGCCCACACCTGCTGTAACTGAATCTCTTTTTGAGTTGATTACTTGTAAATCCCATTTTAAAAATGTATATTTAGTAAAGTTCTCACTTTTAATTCTGATTCCATTGCCTTTATAATGTTGGGTGAAATGAAAGAATTTTTTAAAATAATAAATGATCTGTAAATAATGATAATAGTGCAAATCAGATGTTACTGCCTCTACTGTTTTGTAAGGAATTCTCCCCTTTCCTTTTCTGCCTTCTTGATCCTTTAATGTCTGAGTTCCTTTCCCCCTGTTTGATGGCCTTGCACTAATGCAAGTACGGTGCACCTTTTAGTTAATGCAAACTCCCTGAGTAGAACAAACCCCTCCTTGTTTTTATAGCCTTGGTTGCCGTTTATTTTGTTTTTGTAGACTTACTTGGTGGAGAAGATTAGATACTTTTTTGTAAAATATAAGATGAAGTGAAAACTTACTTCTAATTTGATGACTGGATTTCTAAGGAGTGTCCTAAAATAATAAAAGGTTTGACTCCCTCTAATTTCTGTTTTATGATATGTTCCTTAGAACACTGACAGGTGTTAAACAAGATTTCTATTTTTAACACAATAAAAATAGATAATTAAATTAATTCTGCCAGATTAGTTCCCTTCCAATAAAGATAAGATATATCTATCTTATGTACTTAATAGCATATTAGAAAAAGTCTTTCCTGTGTCCAGAATGCTGAGCAGTCTTGAGTGGTAAAGCTTGTGGATGTCACTGAGTTATGCAGTTTTTCCTGGCCACCTTGTCTAAGAACAAAAGCCTGCTTCGTTTGTGATTATGAAACAGAAAAGGTGGAAGAAGCTAATGCCTTTGTGAGTGGGTCAAATCATTAAATCTCTTTTTGCTTTGAACTTAGTCCAGCATCATTTTGGGTATTTCCTGGTGTGGTACAACAGAAAGTACCAATTCTTGTACAAGCTCTCATTAGTAGACAAATGGGTGAAATTAGAGCATTTGTTAATACAGCAAATAAAAGGACTGTTTTTGAAAGTCTAAACTTCAAAGCATTCTAGCAAATTAAGACCTAGTTCCATATGTTTTGGAAATAACATCCACATTTGAAGATAAGTTGATGATAAAAGGGGTTTAACATTTTAAATAACAATGGTAAATTAAAAATGGTTGTATAATTGTCAACTTCATAATCATAATTTTTTTATGGCCTCAAACTTCTAGGCCCTTCCTGGATCAATAAAACAGAAAAAGCTTTCTTCAGAGGTAGAGATAGCCGAGAGGAGAGGCTCCAGTTGGTACAGCTGTCCAAAGAGAATCCGCAGCTACTAGATGCAGGAATTACAGGATATTTCTTTTTCCAAGAGAAAGAAAAGGAACTTGGAAAAGCCAAGTTGATAGGTTTCTTTGATTTTTTTAAGGTATGCCTTTCAGTCTTCCTGTATGGCTATAAAGGATGAACTTGTGTTGAAAGTCCAAATTTCTCCTGTTTGTGAACGGCACATCTTGTATGCTCTTTTATCTGACACAGGGAATGAAGATGCTCTTTGTGATTTCCATTTCTTCACTGTTAACCTTGTCCAGCAACTAATTCAGATCTGTAATGCTCAAACTATAGTACCAGGGTTAACTTGGGTTTTGGATGTATTTATTTCTCTTGTTCTCTTTGTGGATTGGTTTCAATAAACTGGGAATAGAGATGTATTTTACATGAAGTGATTTCAGATGTCTTTTGTTAATAAAGTATAAATTCCACATCTAGAAGATACAAGACAGAATCAGGGTTCAGGTCCTGCCTCTTATCCCGCCCTGTCACTGGCAGCAGGACCTTTGGTTCTTAGTGTCTGTGGTCTCTGAACTGCCCAACTCCACAGGACATTATCATGAGTTCAAAAGAGATAAACATATGAATGATGTGATAAATTATCTAAGATATAATTAATTACCAAATCTGGGAGGATAGCCTCTTCAATTCAGTGTGACATAATAAGAAGATCAAGAGATTTGGACTCAGAGAATAGAGGTTTATAAATTTCTCTAGGTATCAGTTTTCTTGTTTGCAAAGTGGTAGAAAGCGTTAATAATATTTGTTTCATAATATTATAGTTGAATGAGGTTTAATGTCTATGAAAAATGCTTTTGAAATATAAATAAAAATGTATTGATGCAATAAATATACAGAGTAAGAACTTTCCCAGATTTCTGTCTTTTCAACTTTAAAGCTGTAAAATAAAGATAATGATGTCTTCTTATCTCATAGGTTGAGAACAAGAAACAAATTAAATAATGTGTAAATGAAAATGTGCATTGTTAGTAGTATTCAGTTTTAGTAACTTTTAAGAATTGGTTTTAATACCTGATTATAGAAATCTGGATTCTCCATTATGTAGATGTAATTGGAGCAGATACTCATTTCTATTGCCTGAGATTATTTATTAGCTTGTCTTTCAGTGCACTGTATTTCTTAAAACCAATATACTGAAGATTTCTTAGGATTTTAGTACAAAGAAAATATGTTACAAAATAAAATTTTCAAACACACTATTTGGAAAATGGAAAATAATTCCTTTGTGTTTAGTATTGACGAGAAGCCAGTGTAGCACAAGTGACTTAAAAGTTTTGTTTCTGGTTTATATTTGTCTTTTTAAATCCTGCAGTACAAGTATCAGGTGAATGTGGATGGGACTGTGGCTGCGTACAGGTATCCATATCTCATGCTGGGAGACAGCCTGGTTCTGAAGCAGGACTCACCGTATTATGAACATTTCTACGTGGCACTGAAGCCTTGGAAGCATTATGTTCCCATTAAAAGAAATCTTAGTGATCTACTAGAGAAGGTTAAATGGGCCAAGGTATGCTTCTTGCGATTTTCAATCCACCAGTATTAGTTACACGAATCCCATCACAACACAGTTTCATTTGGCACAATGGAATCGAAGGCTATGAAAACAGAGTGCATTCATAAGCGTCTCTGTTAAAGAGAAATGACCATGCGTGTTTGGCCTCTGTTCCACAGTCCCAGTAAGCCCCCTTCTCCCCTGGTGCAACAGCCCCTCTGCAGGCTCTGGTGCAGTTATCTTGGCTCTTCCTCAGTCACCCAGCAAGTGAGCTTGGGGTTCTTCCCCTGACTGCCCAGCCTAGCCCTCTCCACTTGAGAACAGAATGAATCAGTTCTCATGGTATAAAAACATTTAAAAGCTTCATTTAAGGATTTAGTCAGAGCCAAACTGTTGTTATAAAACAACAGCTGTTAAAGGCTATATTGTTGTAATTAAAAAATTCGGTCATTAGTACTGCAGGACTATTCCTCCAGCATTGGGAATAGTCAAGTTACCTAATTATGTTTCTGGAAAATAGTTAATTTTCTGCCATGCTGCCCATAGGAAAAGCCATTACCAAGCAGTTGTGCCTCCTATAAAGGGTCACAAAAACAGTTCTGCCTTAGGCATCGAGTTATTTCCATAACCAAGTATGGCAGCTTAGAAATAGAATAAAGTGTTAGAATGGGAGGGTAAATTTTATAGTTTTATTAAAAAAACAGCGTTTTAATACTTTCCCTTTTAAAGAAAGGAATTCCTATTTTATGGGAAACTTGTAATTCTTAGGAGAGAACATAGCATGCTAAGAACCTGTGTTTTTACCTTTCTCTCTGTCTCTGTCTCTCACTCTCCACTCTGCCTGTCAAAGAAAAAAAAAAAAGAACCTGTGTTTTTCTTTTTTCTTTTTTTATCCTGCATCTTTTCTCTAAGTAATGAATAACTGTAAATGCCTGAAAGGTTCTGTTGTACATAAAACACTTTCACTCTGGTCTTCTCAGTCTATAATTTACATTTTGTATGTTCTTGTTTGTGTAAGCATGAAGAATACTTCATATAGAAAACCCATATTCTGGGGCTGGCACTGTGGCGTTGAAGGTTAAACCTTTGCCTGCAGTGCCAGCATCCCATATGGGAGCTGGCTCAAGTCCCAGCTGTTCCATTTCAGATCCATCTCCCTGCTAATGTACCTGGGAAAGCAGCAGAAGATGACCCAAATGCTTGGGCCCCTGCACACAAATGGGACCTAGAAGAAGCTCCTGGCTCCTGGCTCTGGCCTGGCTCAGCCCCAGCTATTGTTGCCATTTGGGAAGTGAACCCGTGGATGGGAAATTCTCTCTCTCTTTCTGTCTCTCTCTCTCTCTCTCCTTCTCTCTCTATATCTCTGCCTTTCAAATAAATCTTTTTAAAAATCCTTATTCTGTATAATAGTGGACTGCAAATCTTCTAAGAATATACAGAATGATTCTGCTGTTGATTCTGGACATATTTCAAGGAAACAAAAATTTCAAAAAAAATTCACACTTCCATTTAAGTTTTATTTCCATTATGTTCCATCTGTGCCCTGCTGTGCACATGTCTGTCCCACCTCACACTCACCCCTGGATTTCTTGGGAGCCACAGGAGCTACTTTCATTCATGTTTTAAAAACCTTTTTAGGAAAATGATGAAGAAGCCAAGAAGATTGCAAAAGAAGGGCAGTTGATGGCCAGAGAGCTGCTGCAGCCACACCGGCTGTACTGCTACTACTACAGAGTCCTCCAGGTCTGTTCAGAGCGTCCCTCCGCCTCGTCAGGTGTCCACAGACCTCCGCTTGGCCTGAGCGCTTTGTGCCTAAGGATTCCTGAAGGGTTCAGAGAGTCACCTGGTGAAACTGTCGCTGACCCCAAGTCCCAGCCGATGGGAAGAGAGGAGCAGTGCTAATCCCTTGTGGCTTCCACTTTTTTTTAAAATCTGCTGTGCTCGCTTTGTTGAATGCCTTATGGACTTTCTGTGTAGGAGTCTCTCGACCCTCATCTTTCCTCATCTGGGAAGTGAGAAGGTTGAACTGGAGATCATTAACCTCTCTTTCTGCTTGAAATTTCCCCTCCTTATTCTCCTTGCAATTGAAGGTCCATGCCTTTGCTCTCAAAGTACAGCGTGGAAAGCAAATGTGAAGGTGTCTGTGTAAAGCGGTCACAGCAGTGAGAAATGCTCACACCGTTCTAACAGCTCGCCCCAGTTCCTGCAGGATCCTGAGGATCAGTCCTTTGAGTGACCACTTTGTCGTTTACTCAGTAAAATCTCTCTAGAAAGAAAAAAAAAGGAAATACATATTTGTTTGTAACCTAAACTTATATCTTTGTTGGCAAAATAAGTTTGCTCAGTTGCCATTGGCTGCTACCCTCTTGTAGAGAAATAAAAATGGCAAATTACACCATCTCCGAGAAGCAGCCCCCCTCCCCCTGTCCAGCTTTAATTTTAGTAGAGGTTTTTCCTTAAAATATCTGCTGAACTCACCTGTTCATGTCACCATTTTCTCGGGTTTGGCCCCGTACCGGGAATGTGCTGCTAAATGCACACAGGGCCCTTGAATGAAATATCCAGTTCTGTCCATGGCCAGAGGGGGAAAGCATGTCAGAGGCCCATGACCATTTTTAGTTATGTGCAACTGCAGGCCTACAGGGAAGGATGTGTGGGCCCACCGGCTTTATTTTGAAAAGTTAATATCATCTTTGCTGATTTGAGTTTTGAACAAAGTTAATCCTCCATTTACAGGTGGGGGCACATGCTGAGAACTGCTCTTTGATTCAAACAGGAACGTTAAGCTTGGCCCTTCCTGTGGTGGAAGCTTCTACCTACATGTAAAATCGTGCATTGGGGTTCTATGCTAGATTCTGGAATGTTGCAGTAGTGCCAATAATCACTGAGGTTACAATGTTAGTCTGATGGAATAAGCCAGGCCTTTAGTTTGCGCCTGAAGCCACCCAGGAACTAGAAGGGATGACAGTGACTGGGTGCAGGGGTTTGGTGGGGGAGGCAGTGCGGTGAAGTGTGGACTAATCTTTCCGTTGCCTTCAAATACACATTTCAGAAATACGCCGAGCGCCAGTCCAGCAAACCCGAAGTCCGTGAGGGAATGGAACTCGTGCCTCAGCCGGCCGATGACACTTCCGTCTGCCGGTGCCACAGGAAGAAGCCTTTGAAAGAAGAGCTCTAAGTCGGCCCACACTCGCCGTCCTGTGTACGTCAGCTCGTCCTGCAGGGAAGCCGACTGTGAAGGACACTGTGGGAACCTCACCAGCGGACTCCTAGCGCTCTAGGTAGCTTTATGTAACGTGGCTGCAGAGAGCAGTATTTGAGCAACTGTTACCAGATATCTTTGAATAATATTTTCTTGTGGGTAAACATTACTTTTATCAGCGTCGTGGTTTTTTAAAAAGCAAAGTTGGGGATCATAGCAGATCGAGTCGTGCCAAAATGCAAGCCACACCTATGGACCTGTTTTGATTATTTTTATTAGTTTCTTTCTAGCTTTTGTTCACTCTCTTCCACTTCCAATTATGAAAAGAAAATGTTTGTCCAGGGTCCTCCTCCATGTCCCCCACTGCATAATCTCTCCTCTTCTACGCTGCTTCTGACACTCAGTAATGGTGGCCTCCCTACAGGCGCTCAGTGCACCCATGAAGCATACCATGCCGGGTGCTGTGTTTGAATACTGGCTCCTCAGCTTCCAATCCAGCTTCCTGCTAGTGCACACCCTTGGTGGCAGCAAGTGATGGCTCAAGTACGTCGGTCTCTGCCACCCACGCGGGAGACTTGGATTGAGTTCTGGGTTCCTGGGCTTTAGCCTGGCCCAGCCCCAGTTGTAGCTGGCATTTGGGGAGTTGGGGAGTGAACCAGTACATGAGATCTCATTCTCTTTCCTTCTCTCCCTTTCCTTCCTTTAAATAAAATTCAAATAAATAAATAAAATTCTTAAAAATTAATAGTAGGGACCGGTACTCTGGCGTAGAGGGTTAAGCCACCGCCTGCAGCGCTGGCATCCTGTATGTGCACCGGTTCAAGTCCTGGCTGCTCCACTTCCAATCCAGCTCTCTGCTGTGGCCTCAGAAAGCAATGGTAGATGGCTCAAGTACTTGGGCCCCTGCACCTGCATGAGAAACCAGGAAGAAACTCCTGGCTCGTGGCTTCGGATTGGCACAGCTCCAGCTGTTGCAGCCATCTGGGGAGTGAATCAGCAGATGGAAGACCTCTCTCTCTCTCTGTCTCTGCCTCTCTCTAACTCTGCCTTTCAAATCTTTTAAAAAAAAATTAATAGTAGCTTCTTCTGGGAAGATCCAATAAGATTAATTACAGAAGAGGGTGTCTGATATTAAGAGCAGCATGGAGTCTGTGGTGGGAATTTTTTTAAAGGCATTGCTTGTATCTTTAACTGTTCACCAAGGCCTGAATCAAAATGAAGGAGAAACTGCCTTAAGCTAATAACTTCTAATTGATCTGAGTTATTCACGTGAAAGACAACATAGTTATTAATGTACATGGGTACTTCAAAAAGTTCTTGGAAAGTAGAATTAAAAGATGCTTATTTTGGTGCCAAAAATTTTGCGATCTATGCATACAAAGAGTTTTTAAAGATTTCATATTAATAAAAAAAAACTATGTCTCATTTTCAAAGCTTTTTTGCACCAAAGTAAACTTACCTTTTAATCCCGTTTTTTCATGAACTTTTGAAAGTACTCTCATACATGAGGGCAACCTGTTGGGTAACGTTCAAGGCTTACGATTCATAGCTCAGAAATCCATTAAACACCCCCTGTGTACCATCAACCAAGATTAAGTTCACAAAAGAATATGCTCTTAAAAACAAGAGCTATGGGGCAAGCGTATATCCCAGTGTTTAAGATGCTGGCTACGGTGCCCTTGTCCCACATCAGAGTGTCTGGAGTTTGATTCCCAGCTCTGGCTCCTGACTCAAACTTTCTGCCAATGCAGACACTTGGGGGGAAAAATTGGGGCCCCAGAGCTGCTTCTGTCTTCATCATAAGAAGCCTATGTTCTAGGTGCCTCCAACTCCTAAAATACCTGCCTCCTAGAGCTTTTCTCTAAGAGTGGGAATCAGTGAAAGTTTACTGAGCACTTGCTGTGTGCCAGGCATTCATGTTAACGAGCACCTTGTGTTCCCAAGTGGACTTTGCTTGAAATTTTGCCTCTTGCCTTTTATTGCTGTTAACTCCAGTGATGAGTGAATACCATAACACGAGGCCTTGGATTTGCATGAGTGCCAGAGCATACTTGTAATTTAATTGTATACTGTCAGGCAGTTTACATTCTTATACACAGACTCTAATTCATTCATATATTCAACATTTACATTCCTTGGGGCCGGCGCTGTGGCATAAAGGGTAAAGCCACCGCCTGGAGTGCCAGCTGCTCCACTTCTGATCCAGCTCTCTGCTATGGCCTGGGAAAGCAGTGAAGGATGGCCCCAGTCATTGGGTCCCTGCACCTGCGTGGGAGACCCAAAGGAAGTTCCTGGCTCCTGGCTTCAGATCAGCATGGCTTCAGATCCATGCAACTCTGGCTGTTGTGGCCACTTGGGGAGTGAGCCAGTAGTTGGAAGATCTCTCTCTCTCTCTCTCTCTCTCTCTCTGCCTCTCCTTCTCTCTCTGTATAACTCTGACTTTCAAATAAATAAATAAATCTTAAATAAATTTACATTCCTTATAAGAAACATCAACTTTGTATCTCCAGCAGAAACTTTAGTTATTAATTCCTATATGTGTCTTTTTTCCCATCAAATGGATTGCCATAGCAGTGAGTGTTCAGTGAACAGCAAGATGCAGAGCATGTATGTTGTGAAAGTGTATGGAGAACACAAAAATGTATCCATGTAGTTGAACATCTGGAAGAAAGAGATGGAGAAAAAGAAGTTTCACCTCTTGTCACATATGTTTTTATATTTAAGTTGGTTTTACTGTAAGAGTGAATCACATTGTGAAAAATGCCAGCCCTGGAAAAGATAATAAATGCACAAAAGATATAATTAGGAAAAGAAAACAGGTATTTATATTTTCCATTATGCTGTTTTAAAATCTGTGTCTACGGCTCACTAGGCTAATCCTCCGCCTGCGGCGCCGGCATCCTGGGTTCTAGTCCTGGTCGGGGCGCTGAATTCTCTCTCAGTTGCTCTTCTTCCTGTCCAGCTCTCTGCTGTGGCCCGGGAGGGCAGCGGAGGATGGCCCAAGTGCTTGGGCCCTGCACCCGCATGTGAGACCAGGAGGAAGTACCTGGCTCCGGATCAGCGCAGTGTGCTGGCCGTAGCGGTCGTTTGGGGGGGTGAACTAATGGAAGGAAGACCTTTCTCTCTGTCTCTCTCTTTCACTGTCTAACTCTGCCTGTTTAAAAAAACAAAAAACAAAAAACAAAAAACAAAAAACTGTGTCTAGCATTTTGTATCATGGGACATATTATATATACTTTTTAAATAAAGTAAATTTTATAAATAAAAACTTGAAAAAGATACTGTTTTTTTGGTAAAGAGAGAGAATGCCACCACCGATAGCCCTGGTATTTCCATGACAGAGTTAGTCTAATTTTGATACTATTATGTCTTCATGAATAAATGAACCACCCTTCCATCCCTAATGGATAGGAAGTCATCCTTTTGAAGATGAGGTATGTTTGACTTGAATTAGTTGAGGAAACAGTTAACAAGGCCTTAGGATAAAAATCCCTCTTTTATGTGCAGATCCAGAATTTACGCTCTCCCAACCACTGCTTCCACTGCCTGATTTCTACCTCTTGAGGAGCCATTGCTGACACTGGGACCAAAGCAAAGTCTTTCTAAGCCAAGTCCTCTCAACAGAGTTGTGTGGTAGAGGGAACGACTGACTTTAAACTGATAGCTACTCAATTTATGATGGTGCTCCATCCTGATAAACCGTTTCTTAGTTGAAAGTATTATAAGTTGGAAATGCAATTAATACATTTAACTTACTGAACGTCATAGCTTAGCAACACAGTACACTGTGGAGTGTGGGTTTTCTCCTTTCATGATCACATAGCGGACTGGCAGCTGCAACTCGCTGTGGCCCAAGGTCAGTAGAGTATCCTACAGCAGATTGGTAGCCCCAGCAGAAAAAGATCAAGGTTGAAAGTACAGTTTCTACTGAATGCATATGACTCTCCCACCATTGTAAATTCAGACAGTCTTCAATTGAACTGTCATAAGCTGGGAAGTATCTGTACTTGATGATGACAATTTTAATTTAGCTACACACAGGATGAGGTCCAGAATGGCATGCAGAGCTCCTCGGGGAGTCAGGACTCCCCACCCTCTCAGTACGTCAATAGGTTCACCTACCAGGAAGATCTGGTGAGCTTTGGTGTCCAGAATTTTATCTAAATCTGATTGCATAGACATGATTGGTTAAATTATGGTTCATATGATTTAACTCAGTCTGCAGTCCCTGACTTCTCCTGGAATGCAGGCTGTTGAAAATCCCAACGCTCTAATCTCGTGCTTGGCTTTTCTGGAACCATGTCTCATTCTGATGTTCTCTAGAGGCCCACTACACAAGTAAATCATTACCGCAACAAAGACACTTCTCTCAGGAAATTCTAAAGGTTTCTGAAGCTCTTTGCCAGGAATCAGACACCTTAAAGACCAGATAGAGTGTAATGCCACAGCTTTCCTGAGGGCTTGGGAACTGAGGACCACTGAAACCATGAGGCTTGCAATACAAGTATTACCCCCACTCCCAGAGGTTTGGGACAAATGCCTGAGCCTTTCAGTGAAGATAAGCATTAACCAACTCCCATCTAATTTAATACAGGACATGTAGTGGGTAGAGGGGGGTTTTTTTTAAAGGAGATGGTAAGCTTTCTTCCATCCTTTCTAAGGGTTAGTTTCCACCTGTTTAACATAAACTGCTGGGCAACAAGAAGTACTAAGCTTCAGAGACAAGGAATGGACTCAAGAAACGTGAGGGGCTGGCAGTGTGGCATAGCAGCTGCTCCACTTCCGATCCAGCTCTCTGCTGTGGCCTGGAAAAGCAGTAGAAGATGGCCCAAGTCCTTGGGCCCTGCACCTGCATGGGAAGAACTGGAGGAAGCTCCTGACTCCTGGCTTCAGACTGGTGCAGCTCTGCCCATTGCAGCCACTTAGGCCATGAACCAGCGGATGGAAGAACTTTCTCTCTCTCTGCCTCTCCTTCTCTCTCTGTGTAACTCTCTCAAATAAAATAAATCTTAAAAAAAAAAAATGTGAAAGTAGTTTCTCCATATCCCATCCCATCTGCTGAACTTCCTTGTCTCCAAAGAGTAATCAAAACCCTTTCTAGGCCCGGCGCCGTGGCTCACTAGGCTAATCCTCCGCCTTGCGGCGCTGGCACACCGGGTTCTAGTCCTG